GATTGGTAGTTGCAAGTTGCTATTTACTTTCAAATACTCTATTATCAAGGCCTTTTATCTTCGTAGAATAGGCAGAGGAATATGGCTAAGGATCGGAAGCCAATATAGTGGAGTAGTCTTGATGCAGCCGCTAATCATTCTCATTGCTATATTAAGCTGCGTATCAACTATTTTCACATGACGACTATTTAGCCAGACCGTTGCACAGTACTCTGCCACAGAATAAACAAAACTTCGCAGTGTGTCCGCAGATGTGTCCCAGTTGGTACCACAAAGATTCTGGATGAGGTTATTTCTACTACTTATTTTTTGCAGTTATTTGTAGATTTGATTTGTTGAGTAGGGGTGGTAGGGTAGGTTTTTTGACCTCTAATTTTTGGTTTGCCTGTTTGTTATTGAGGTGAAAACAGCTTACCTCAGTTTTATTTAAGCTGGGTATCAGACGTCATTTTGTGAAATATTCATACAGCTGGTTAAGGTCGTTTGTCAGCACGTTTTGAGTAATTTCAAACTGTTTGTGTTGTACTGCTATTGCTAGGTCATCGGCGTAGCCAAACCTTCTTCCATCCGTGTCAGGTAGATCCGATATATATATATATATATATATATATATATATATATATATATATATACAAAATGAACCAAATTAAAACGGAACATGCAATTTAATACATGTCTGTTTGAACTGCATTTGAAATAGTGGACCAATATAAATCTTGGACAAAAATAAATCCAACCTGGGTATAGACATTGTATAAAATATCGTTCAACTATCTGTCTCACAACAATGTTGTTTGTGTAAGACGGGTTTGTCTAAGGAAACGATAATAGTTCAGGAAATGAATCTCGAAAAAAGTTAAAACCTCGCAATTTTTTCGTCCTGCATGTATCCAGTTGAAATTTTAACAGAAGGTAGGTGATAGCCCAAGGATCAAAATCTATATCGAACCGAAGTGCGCTGAAGGGTTTTAGGGGTGAAAACTACCCCTAATTGTCAAAAATTATAAAATAACGTATTAAACCTGAATATGGGTAAGATTTGGTTTGAATTAGTTAAATAATAAACCATATATGGAAAATATTGTGGCGAGCTCGAAAACGTTGAACCCAGGAAGCATTACACTTAAAATTCTTCTTCAAAATCACAGCGAAAGCATCAGCCTTCACCTGAAGCATCGGCCCACTCACGGGTACATGTTTGCGCGTTGTTGTTTAAACAAATCGAGCAAAGCACTTTCAATGTCACTGTAATTTGATGACCGAACGCGTTTTCCTTTTTCACACTTATTAAATTGCTTAATAATTTTCTCTCGCCTTTTCATTATTCCAGCAATTGTCGAGCGTGACGTTTTAAATTCCCGGGCAATCGAACTCGCGGAATCACCGGAATCGACTCGGCAAATTATTCCAAACTGTTCCTCAATAGTAAATTGTTTTCGTGACATTTTTTCAATGAAGGCTAGACACAACTGAATTCAAATTCAGAAACTCTTGGCTTAGGTCAAATGGTGAAATATGTATAAACAAAATTTTGTAATACAATGGACCCGTCTTGGGAGGTCTAACTGTCTAAAGGACAGTAGATGCCTGTCCGGATGTACTATAACCATAAATTAATAAATCCTTACTTCTCATTTCGTGGTATTAAATATCGGTAATACCTGTGAGAAATACAACACTACAATGTCCATTTTCATAACTTTACAGGATAGCATTTTTAAACTTATTTATTAAGATGTACGCTGTAACCAATATTTTAACTACTAGTGTTCCAAGAGATACGTTTGCTCTAACCGATTTGTTCATTATAAGCAATATAAATGCGTTTTTTGTATGTCATTTTATGGGACCTACTATTTTGTTTGTTATATCCGATTGACTGTATTTTGATGGTTTATTTAACAACCTGACAGATAATTAGGGAAACATAGTACTGGAAATAGATCATAAAAGAGAGATATATATATATATATATATATATATATATATATATATATATATATATATATATATATATAATATATCCGGTTTTTTAGGCGTTACGCCCGTCCGGTAGGGATCTATGGAGGAGTATCACCAAGCCGCAAGCCCTTATCTCTTGCCGTACTGCTCCACCATAGGCCGATCAGATCCCAGCATATCCTAGTCTAAGCCGCAGATTCATCTGGAATTTTAAACTGCTGCGTTAGACTTTTTGTTTTCTGTACACCGAGCTGGGGCTCGATCCCACATCCACTGAACCATTCGACAGTGAAGCGAATGAGAGGCAGCCGCTCAGCCCGCTGAGCTATCTGACCGACTAAAAGAGATATTTGGATTAAATACGTGGAAAAAACTTTTAAAGATGTACGAAGTAACACTGGTATCACAACAAACACCAATTGCGAATCTGGACCTCCATTTACAGTCGAAAAAATAAAATATGTCATCAAAAGCACCAAAGATGGTAAAGCAGTAGGCCCTGATAATTTTCACTCAGAATTCTTAAAACTTAGGGACTATAATGGCATAAAACGGTTGACAAATATATTTAACAATATATAATTGATACAGGCATAATTCCCCAAAAATGGTTAGTGTCAACTTTTATAAATCTTCCAAAAAAACCAATCGAGAAAGTGCGAAGACTATAGAATTATAAGCCTTATGAGCCATTTACTTAAAATATTTTTAAAGGTCATTCACAAAAGAATATATACAAAATGTGAGGAACAACAAACAAAAACACAATTCGGATTTCGTGATGCTCTGGAAACACGGGAGGGCCCTTTTTGCTGTATAGGAGCTATTTCAGAGATGCAGGGATGTGAATTGTGACATGCGTATCCTTTGTAGATTACCAGCAGGCATTTGAAAGAGTAAAACATGACAAATTAATGACTCCAATGCAAGAAATTGGAATTGACAACAAAGATCTTGGAATTATCAGAAACATTTACTACAATTAAACAGCCAAAATCAAAATAGAAGACCAGTTAACTGATAAAATTGCAATAGAACGTGGAGTACGACAGGGCTGTATTTTGTCTCCATTGTTGTTCAATATTTATTCTGAATGGGTATTTAAGGAAGCTTTAGACGGTTGTGCGAAAGGAATACTAATAAACGGTGAATGGTTGAATAACATTAGATATGCAGATGACACTATAGTTTTTGCCGATAATTTGAATGACTTACAGATATTAACAAATCGCATAACAGAAGTCAGCAACGGATACGGACTAGCTCTTAACATAAAGAAAACCAAATTTATGACAATTAGTAAAAAACCAATACTAAACCCTCAACTTACAATTAAACAACAAAATATCGAAAGAGTCGAGCAATATACATATCTAGGCACCAATTTAAATAGCCAATAGGACCACTCAACAGAAATTAAACAGCGAGTAATAAAAGCAAAAGCAGCATTCGTTAGAATGAGAACCATTTTCAACAGTCGAGACATATCATTAAAAACACAATGCCGTCTATTGAACTGCTACATATTCACAGTTCTGCTCTACGAAATGGAAGCGTGGACACTGACTGTTGCATCTATGAATCGGCTCGAAGTTTTCGAAATGTGGTGTTATAGGCGCATATTACGTATATCCTGGGTTGACAGAGTTACTAAAGTGGAGGTCCTGCGTAGAATGGGGAAAAATGTGAAATTTAAAAATGTCAAAAATGAATGTAAATGCCAAAACTAAAAAGTTGGAATATCTAGGACATGTAATAAGAAATCAAGAACGTTACGGCCTTCTCCAGCTGATTCTCCAAGGGAAGGTAAATGGTAAGAGAGGACCGGGAAAAAGAAGCATTTCCTGGCTTCAAAATTTACGAAAGTGGTATAACACGACTACCACTGAACTGTTCCGCGCTGCAATAAACAAAATAAAGATAGCCGTGATGATCGCCAATATCCGATGAAGTGCCAAACGGATAGGCACTTTAAGAAGAAAAGACTTTAACAACCTAATTATTTAAATAATACATATTAGTAATGTACGCAAAAATAATATACAAATTAAAACAAGAAACGTCGAAGTATATAAACAAGAAACAGAGATACAGTTAATAGCTCCTTCCATCTCCTGCGCACTCACTAGTTTCAAAGCCGACCAATTTTAAGGACCACATTTTTGAAGTTTTGTGAACGATTATATTAAAACGCAATCTTTTTCAAGTTTTTCAAGTTAAAACCTTAAACTACGTTTTTTCAGATAATCCTAATAAGGTTTCTTAATTGTTATAAACAAAGCTGTTATCAATTTATAAAAAAATGGCACTAACTTCGTCCCAAAGTGTCCTAGGTCAACTTTTTTTCCTTTTAAATTTGTAAATAAATTCTTCTTCTTCTTCAGATGCAAATCCACTAATGGATGTTAGCGATCACATTTTCCATTAACTCTCTATTTCTTGCAGTATGTATCAGAGATTGTATGTCGTTAATCCCTGTCCATTGCCTTATGTTTCGGAGCCAGGACATTTTCTTGCGTCCCATTCCTCTCTTGCCTTCAATTTTACCCTCGATTATAAGTTGGAGGAACTGGTATTTTTCATTTCGCATGATGTGACCTAGATACGCCGTTTTCCTTTTCTTGATGGTTTCGAAAAGTTGGCGTTCTTGGTTTATTCTTTTAAGGACATCTATATTTGTGATTTTCGCTGTCCATGGTATTTTTAGGATACGGCAATAAAGCCACATTTCGAAAGCTTCCAATCTGTTTATAAATAATAAATCTATATCTGTAAATAAATTCAGGCTGTCAAAATATAAAAAAATCAGTGTTTTGCAGTCAATGCAAAAATCGACTGCAGAAAACACATAGGTTCTTGTTATAGAGGTCTATACCACTCAAAACAACTGTCGGTTGCCTGGATGGTCGAGTGTCACAAAAAAAAGCGTATTTTCGTGATTAAGCCAAGGTAATTTCCAATATCCGGTCTATTACTGATCTGTTTGGTCTGGCACGTTTAGCGGGTAACAATAATATCGTCATAATAAAAAACCAATAAAACACAATATTTTCTATTTAATGATATCTTACACGTCTCCATAAGAAAAAGTATCCCAAAATATAAAAACATAATAGCAACACAAACATTCCAAAGATGTCAAATTGAAAATCGGTTTCTTTAAAGTCATATCTTGCCAAAACGTCTCGTCCATTATTCATGCAAGAGAAACCTTCTGGTGGATTTACACAAGCTGCAAAATAAATAATAATTAATCATTTAATGAATATAAACCTTTATATTTATCCTTTCAGGATTTATTCTTCTCGGAATAAACCTCAAAAGGATTTACATTTGTAAAAACTTTAAAGACCGGAAAGCTACAGACCAATATGTTTACTAGAAAATCTAGGAAAAGTACTGGAAAATCATCTACAGAAGACTAATGAAACACGCAAAAAAAAAGTAGAATCATTCAGGAGGATCAATTCGGATTCAGAAAAGGAAGAAATTGCGAACACCAGCTAGCAAGGGTCATCAGCGTCACAAAGATAAGGTTCAACAGAAGACAGAAAACAGGAATGGCCATCCTACACATCGAGAAGGCATATGACACGGTCTGAAAGAAGGCACTAATATACAAGACGGACAGAGCTAGATTGCCCCATTATGTAGTTCATATATATGATACATATCTAACTAATAGAACATTTCAAGTTTCAGCTGACCAAAAGACGTCTACGCTCCAATAAATACAAGAAGGCACTCCTCAGGGCAGTATTCTCTCGCCCATTTTATATACCATTTTTGTTTCAGATTTACCAACAGATCAAAGAACATCTACAGCCCTATACGCAGATGATACGGCGATATATGCAACAGGAAAGGATAATAGAAGAATAGGCCAAAACATAGAAAATCACCTCTGAAAAATCACAGAATACACCGAAAAATAAAAGATCACCAGTGGTAGAAATAACAGTAGGAGGAAACAGGATCCAATCAGGAGAATCAGTCAAATACCTAGGAGTCCACCTCGACAGAAGACTAAACTTCAAGATACACACACATAAAAAACCCAGTTAAAAGCAAAAGCTGCTAAAAAATTAATACTTCCTTATATTTTTAGGTCCAGTCCACTATAGAAGGCCACGAAGATTGAATTATACCAAGCCTATGTTAGATCAATAATACTGTACGCTGTCCCAGTTTAGAGATCCATTTCAGAGTACAACTGGAAGAAACTTGAAGCAACAGAAACATCATGTTATAGAATCATCAATGGATCAATATGGGAAGAACAGATAACAAATACAACCATCAAAGTAAGGCTTCAGTACACATCTCTGAGGGAGGTGGCTAAGAAAAGGATAAGATATTTCTTCCACCAAGCCACAAGAAGACTCCTTAACATGAGATGATAATACTTCTTAAGACCAGAGACATCCTCGCAAAAAATTGGATCCAGAGGGTGTTCAGACCAACTCTTAAACTGATCGACCATATGATCAGGGTTTAGCCGGGTGGTTGCCGAAGACAACCAATCAGGGAAGTAGGTACGATGCCAAAAACAAGTACCTACAGAAGAAGAAGCCAAGGAGTCCATGACAGAAAAATCTAAATAGAATTTAGAGAAAAGGTATCTTCCTTCTAACCTAAATCTTTTAATCGTTCTTAAGTAGTACCTTCTCTGTATCGTTTAATATAGGTTTTTGTCTTTGATATTCATAGTAAAAACCAATTTATTTAAGTAATTTTCATAACTTCTCTCCACAAAAGTGAAAAAAATTATTATCACTTTATTACTATCACTAGTTTAAATAGAACGAATGAACTTTTCTCCGAAAGACGTTTCTGTGAAAGACATCAATTTCTATCGGTTGTTTTCCTTTATGTCTTTTTGCCTTAATATTGCTTCCTTGATTTTTCTTACTTAAAAATCTGTAAATGGTTCTTTCAGTAACACCTGTCATACCGAAGCACATAGTTACTACATTATTAGCTGTTGTTAAAGGCTGTTAATGAGTAAAACACAATAGTTTTTTCTATCATACAATACGCACAGTAAGATATTGAAACCATGATGCCATTTTAACCCGCGAACTGAACTGCTAATTGATAATACATACAGTATCAAATTCATCACCACTTTCCCTTACTCGGTCGGCAGATAGGCAAGCTCGACCCCAAAGCTGATTTGTCAAATTCCTAAAAGTCATTAATAAAGGATTATTCCCTATTAAGACAAAGTATTATATCAATGTAGAGAACAGATAGAGAAAAAAAGAAGAACGAACAGAGATAACCCGGACTATAAAGCGCTCAACAGAAGCGTTAAGAAAAATATTCGAAAATACCTCAGAGTTTATAGAACAAACCAGATTCTTGAAACCATAGAAAACAATAAGAAGAAGAAAGTATGAGAAAATTGTATGAGAAGCTGTATACTTCTACTATTCCGAACCCCGGTATACCAACAAAACATATCTTAAATGTGGGCTCAGAGGACTTCCCTGAAATAATAACATCAGAAATTAGAGCCGCCCTAAAACAAATGAAAAATGGGAAAACACCAGGAGAAGATAAAATTACTTCAGAGATGCTAAAAATGGGAGGCACTGCATTAGTAGAGGCAATAAATTGAGATGGCAATGACATGTAGCAAGACAAGACACCAACAGATGGTCTCATAAAGTGACATTCTGGAGACCTCGAGAAACAAAAAGAAGCGTGGGAAGACCTAAAAAGAGATGGATAGACGATATAACTGCTGTAGCTGGAAAGCAGTGGATGGGAATTGCAAAAGATAGGGAAGCGTGGAAGCAATTGGAGGTGGCATATGTCCAACATTGGATAAATGAAGGCTGAAGAAGAAGAAGAAGAAGATTATATCAATGTAATGGTATGGATATGCCTCATAAATCCAAAAATAGTACTGCTATTAAATAAGAGAAGTTGCTTCGTGAAACAATTAATGAGACGAAAGAAAATACAGGAAGTTATCTGCCAAGATACAACTTTTACAAACTTTGTGCTTTCTATTTTCTTATTATTATTAGCGTTAAGAGTTTTTATTTTTATGGGGTCTTTTTTAAGTGGATAGAACTAAACAAATTAATGCATAACTATGTAATTTTCAGTAGTAATATCCCTAGGACATTGATAACAAACGAGATAATTTCATAACAATCGAAAGCTCGTTCCTTGGTAACAGCACGAAGCCGAAGGCTGAGTGCTGTTACTAAGCAACGAGCTTGAGAAATTTGTCATGAAATTATGAGGCATTCATCAATGTCCGAGGGATATTCGGCGGATAATTTTTAGACTGTTCTAACAACCATTCAAATTTCGTCATTTTGTGTCATGTGGAACAATTTCACCCAATCATGTCAACATTAGACTGATAATTGCATTCAGTGCAATTTTCAATCCCTACGACAACACGATCGAGTTTGACAACTTCATCCAAATAAATTTCAAAATGTCACGTTTCGGGAATGAGAAAGTATAAATCAGAATGCTATAAAACCATACTTGAATCTCGATCAAGAACACCACAACAAGATTATAAATATTATGCGTGGTAATAGATCTTCTATAGTAGAGAACAGCAACGAATCTAATGTTAACTTAAATTTTAATAATTGTACTTTGACTAACTGTAATTTTAATAAATAAATGTTTCGTTATGTTGAGTTATGATTTTTTTCGAAAAATTATCCGCCGAAAATCCCTCGGACATTGATGAATGCCTCATAATTTCATGACAAATTTCTCAAGCTTGTTGCTTGGTAACAGCACTCAGCCTTCGGCTTCGTGCTGTTACCAAGGAACGAGCTTTCGATTGTCATGAAATTATCTCGTCTGTTATCAATGTCCTAGGGATATTACTACTGATAATTTTTGAAAACAAAAATCATAACTCAACATAACGAAACATTTATTTATTAAAATTACAGTTAGTCAAAGTACAATTATTAAAATTTAAGTTAACATTAGATTCGTTGCTGTTCTCTACTATAGAAGATCTATTACCACGCATAATATTTATAATCTTGTTGTGGTGTTAATTTTGACATTTTGAAATTTATTTGGATGAAGTTGTCAAACTCGATCGTGATGTCATAGGGATTGAAAATTGCACTGAATGCAATTATTATCAGTCTAATGTTCACATGATTGGGTGAAATTGTTCCATATGACACAAAATGACGAAATTTGAATGGTTGTTAGAACAGTCGAAAAATTATTATTATAATTAATTGTGGCTTAACCCCATATAAACATAATTTTTAACTTGCCCCAAAGAAACAGGTTCAAAAAAATTTTACATAGTAGTCGATGTTAGCTATTTCTGTAATTAATTTAAGTAAGTTTTCTGTATTTAATATTACTGTAAAACGGTGATCTAGAATACATATAACAAATATGAAAAGATCCCAACTTATATGTGTCTAAAATACGACAGTTCAAGCTTGCGTAAATGACGATTTTTTATAACGGCAAAATAGTGGTTGAGTCGCTGTGAGAGTGGCCTAAGTAGGTGTTAAGTCAGCATTTTGTAAAGATATTTAAAAAAAACCCAGATAGTATACCCTTCCCCAGAATCGTTCGAGTTGGGAGCACCCTAGAATTTTACCTTAAAAAGTTAGTAATGATGTAATGAATGTGTCAAGTGAGAGGTTTGTTGAAGGTATTATCTTTGTCTGCCTATGCCTGCCTTGGGTCAGGTACTCTCTGATAAGCCATAATAAACATGAAACATGTCGTAGTGTGAACGAAGACAGACTTTTAAGTATAGCAGAGAATTCCTGCATTATGATTCCTAGTATACCGCCTTCTATAAACAGATAATTATATCTTTGGATGCCCAGATCTTCTGAAAACCGGATCATTTTGCAACAACTGGCAACGGCGCTTTTCATAATAGCCAATTTGTTAGAGTGAAGGAAAAATCAATTTTTCTCTAGATTTTGGGAAAATTTTGAAAAGTGTTCGAAGTTTCAGTCTGCTCATTTTTTGAGCGTTTTGTAGTGGGGGTAGAATAGGTCGTGACGTATGAGAAAAAAAAATGAAGGATAGCATCCAAATGGCTTAAAGTACAGAATTTTACGAGTGGAATTGAATGATGTAGAAAAAATCAAAGGGGCTAAGTAACATTATTAAGGATGGGGATTAAGTAACATTAGTAGAAATGGGGCTAAGTAAAATTCCAAGCTGCATACTACATTTTACTTACGACCAACAAGTAATGTATTGGTGTAAATATTGTTATATTATATTGTTACCCATCGTTTCTGATAGGTCGGTTAATAGTTACAATTCCTCTGTCGGTGTTCCATCTCCGGAGCGCATCGATAGTAATGGTAGTTTCACTGTACTGTACATATAGTTTTCTGCAAAGTATACTTACATATATTACTAACATCTTTCCATTGCAATATGTATAACGCTTCCGTCGAATACATTAACCAGGACAGATATTTTATCCAAGAAAATACAATTGGAAGAGTACTAAAAATAAAAAAAAATAAGGAAGTTTAGTGTTAATATTTTATGACTTTAATTAGGTAGCGCTATTACCTCAGTTTCACGAAGACACCTGATGTAATCATATGGGCGTAGTCAAATGGTACTAAATATGCTAGAGCTGTAGGAACAGAATCAAAAGCATTTGAAAACATGACACCTTAAAATAAAAAAAAATATATAATAATAAATATTTTAGGCATGTCATATCAAAATTAATAATCTCCAGTTTTTATAAAAATTAAGAATTACTTTATTTCTTACACTCTATTTATTTCTTTCCATTACTCAACAAACTGGACCCCGCAACTATCCTTATAGAAAACCGGCCCCTGTCAAATTAAACGAAAATTCGGTCAATGATAGTTATCAGTGCGTAGATTAACCCTTAACCGTCGTCGTGGGGTCCCTCGGACACCGCAGTTCAAACAACGCTTCATATTTTCCCCACTATTGATCCAAACGAAAGGTGTCGTACAGCACCTTCAGGTAGAAGGATATCTCCGTTATGCTAATGCGAAATCGCGATCATTTGCATAAAAGTTATCGAGTAGAACACATTAAGAGTCCGAGGGACTCTACGACGTAGTTTGTGATAGTTTTTATTTCAATGGCGGTTTCTAAAAGTAAAAAAAGTGTGCATCCAGGCGATGCTAATTTTGAAGAAATTGTTGGGCGATGGTACGAAGAGGCCGATAGTGATTTTTCCGACCAAGATGATGACGACACGCCAAACAGTAAACACGAAGAGCCAATTTTGAGTGACCATAGTTCTGAGAGCGAATTTTATGCTAGCGTTACTAACGATGGTGAATCGGACGAAAGTCAGGAGTCTGATGAAGATTCAATGAATGAAGTAGATCCAAACAGATGATACTTTTATGGAAAATATAGGTACAAATGGGCATCAGTTGAACCTACTCGCAATGTTAGAACACCTGCTTCTAATTTATTAAGATTGCCTATTATCAAAGGATCTTTGACACAGATGGAACCAGTGGGGCGTTTCCTAAAATTTTTTCTAGAGATGTTGTTGACATTCTTGTATATTACAGAAATATCAAACTGAGGGAATATCGCGACAAGGATGGAAATCACAACCGCCCAGAATTTAGAGACACCAATAATACAGAGATCAATGGATTTTTGGGCCTTCTATTATTGACATCAGTCAAGATTCAATGTTTCAATGTTCACACACAACACTTATATATTATTCTGGAATAGGATCTGATGCATTAAAAGATTTTACTGCAGAAGAAAATCTCTATTCCCTCCCAATCAGTGGTTCGCCTTTGCAAGCCGATCTTTGGCAGTAATAGTAATGTTACAGGCGACAACTATTACACATCAGTTGGTATACATCAGTGGAACTTGTAGATGTTTTATTAAATAATAATTTAACATATGTTGGTACTATAAAAAGGAATAAAAGAGAAATTCCTATTACAAAAACTAAAACTATAATCTCTCGAGTGCCAAAGAAAAATAGGGCTGTGCTTTTAATATCCTCGCTGCATCACACGAAAGAAGATGATATCGAAACTTAGTTACCGGAAATAAATACCTTTTATAACAATACTAAAGCAGGCGTAGATTCAGTAAACGAAAAATGCACAAAATACTCGTGCAGTCGAAGAACCAGGCGCTGACCGATGGCCATATTTTTTAGAATAATCACTTCTTCGAGAACGAGAAACTAATCAACGTCTTTCAAGAGAACTAAGACTCAGCATTTAAAAGGTGCTAAGAATGAATCCAACCGAAAATGACGATCATACAGATACATATGGTTATCTAGTATCAGCAAACACTTTTGATTTATGTCGACTCGGAAATATCTAATCAAGTTCAGTCAATATTTTTCGAAATTCTCATGAGCCATCCAGCCTGGTGGGTTAACAGCAGCACCAGCACCAATGGGAAGCCCTCTTGTCATATTAGTCTGGATCCTAACCCTCGGATAAATTAAAAATTGAGAAAAGTGTTACCAGACGCACTTAATAGGTCATAAAACTGTTTGTTACCAGTGATCTTCCTATACACGATGTTAGGTTTGACACCTGCTTCTGCCCTTTCTTCGCAATTATTTTTTGCGGCTTATGTGCTGTTGTAACTACCGTTTCATCTGCGTTATATATACAATCAGGTGTAATCGATTCCCTTTCCATGATGGTCTTTAAATTGTTAAAAAATAGCCGAATGGTATATTTATTAGATGCAGTGGCACGTCTTACATTCGTGGGTTCTGGTGTTCTAAGTGATATGTTGTTCTAAGTGATTATGTCGTGACATAAAACCTCTTAACCAGTCACGCGTAGAGCTCTATTTTTCTCTCAAGCTGCAGAATTTTTTGATTATTTTCAGTTGCAGAGATGTAAGCAAACTTTTTTACTGCGATGGTAGCAAGTCCATAATGTAAGTCAGCACATTTGAGTAGGTATTGAAGTAGCAAATATTCTTCTTGATTAGTAAAAATTTGCAAAGAAAAAAAGTTTGCTACAAACGACACATTTTCGTTTAATTTAAATTTATTTACATATCTAGATAGAGTCGTTCTATCAATATTATATTTTTTAACGACTGTGCGGATTTTACCATTAGTACAGCAGTTTCCAAAATTTCAAGATTAGTAGTAGTAGATTTTAAACGATTTTTCGAACGATTGTGAGCCCACATTTTTAATATTGAAAAGAGAGAAAACATACTAGAAAGCAGTTTTTTTTATCATGATGGGAGGTTTGAGCCATGTCTCAAGTCTCCCACATAAAATATGTTCATCCCTCCCCTCGTACCAGTAGCCATAATAAATTACGATTTTTCAACATATTATAACCTAACAAATAATTGAATACATGAAAGTATGCTGAATAAGTATGATATTCGTATAATTCGTCTACATATTTTTGAACATAATAATGTAAATAAAGAATCCTTATATATTTTGATAAAAATGTTTAGCCTCAAAAACAACTTTTCACTCTAACTTTTCTAACAGGCTTCGATATGACATGCGACTTAGTGAGAGCGTCCACCAAACGGCATGGCAAGTCACAAGTAGCATGCGTCTAGTATGTTACTTAAAATGTAACCAATGAAAACGAATGATTCAGCGCACACCAAAATGACAGTGACGTTATTCATTCTAATCATTCAGTGAAGCAATGAGTAAGCATCCACTAAACCAGGGGTGTCCAACTTGCAATGCCTCAAGAGCCAAAACTAGAACCTTTGATGTTGTCGCGGACCATATAATAATTTTATTACAAGTAATAACAAAATAAAGTGAGGTATAAAAATAATTAAAACAAAAAAGAGTATTAATTCTTTTATTGCTCAACAACTACATTTTTTTACAAAACGAAAATTTATTGATAACACTACAAAAGCAACAAAAAAGATGTATCTAATTAGTGTGAGGACTGTGGTCGATCGGCTTCATCCACCAATGAAGAAATGTCCACCTCCAGTTCAGTTGTAGACACTCTCATAAGATGACGTAAGGAAGAATCGGTAAGGTTGCTTCTGTTTTTATTTTTTATGTATTTCATGGAGGAAAAGGCACTTTCACATGTATATTTGCTTCCGAACATTAACGTCATTTTCAGTCCAAAATCTCGCAGGTTTGGGAATTTCTCCTTTGATAGTAATTTAAAAAATCCACGTCCCTTTTCTTGTCTGGTGATTACGAACATGTCTGCAGGAAGATCACATAACTCAAGATGTAAGTTGGATGGTTGATCATCAATGGTTGCTCCAAGAGGATTATTATAAAGTAGTACACTGCTTTTGAGACTTTCAATTTCTTCAAATCTTGTATTGAATTCATCAATAACTTGTTCAATTTGTGAAATGCAGAATGAAAACTCAATATTTTCCTCACCGTTGAATTCTTCTGCTATTTGCAGACAGCCAGGGAAGTGTGTCAGGTTGTTCTTTTTCAAAACACGTTTAAACACGTTCAGCTTATTCCGGAATCCGTTTATCATTCCGATCAAATCTGAAACCGTCTGTTTTCTTCCTTGAAGACTAAATTTTAACATGTTAAGATCATGAGTCAGATCTGTTATAAAAGCTAACTGTCTTAAGAATTCTGGATCCTTAAACTTCTCTTCCAGGTCAGTTGTGTCAGATGAAACGTATTTGTTGAGGAATGCATTGATTTCCTTTCTTATGGCAAAAAATCGTTCCATGCACTTTCCTGCACTCAGCCACCTTACATGGTTGTACATTAGCAAGTCTCCATACTCAGTCTCTGTTTCCACTAAAAACTGCTTAAGTTGCCTGTGTAAAAGAGATCGATTTCCACCTCTAATCATATTTATAATCTTAATCACGGTTTGGAAAACTTGATCTTCCTTGACTGATTTTCCACATAAAGCTCCCTGATGTATAATACAATAAATTGGGCAAGTGACACCATTCTCTCGAAGCAGACCCACTAATCCAATTTATTTACCTGTCATTGATGGGGCCCCGTCTATTTGTCCTCCACCAGCCTCCAGTTCTGTCAACTGTTTTCTTCACAGCCTCATAGATGTCTTTCCCTTTTGTTCTCCCATAAAGAGGACAAATATCAAATAACTCCTCTTTACTGGTAAAATCATCAAAAGTAGTGCGCACAAATATTAACAGCTGACCATCGGTTTGATCCGAAGTGAGAAATATAAACTTTTAAGCATATGAACATAGCAACAATCCTTCTTTGTATAGTTTGATGTGAAAGTGGCAGTGATTCAAATTTCTCCGCCATTTTAGAATCACCGAAAGCTTTGGCCATTTCAACAGCACATTTTTTTATCAAATTGCCATCAGTGAAAGGTTTTGTTGCCTTTGTCAGCTCAAGCGACACGGCATAACATGCATGCAAATAATGCGTTTGAGAGTGTAATACTTTACTGAACATACCAGTTTGCTGTTTAAGCTTTTTCTTCAAATCTGCAACTAGGGCACGCCGACTTTCATTTGTGTACATAGCATACTTATATTCATGCACTGTTGTGTAATGTCTTCTCACATTATATTCTTTAGGCACTGAAACGACATTCATGCACACTAAGCACTGCAACTTTCCATTATTGTTAGCAATCAAGTAATCACTCTCCCAACTTTCTTTGTAAATTCTGTTCTCACTATCAATTTTCCGTTTTACTGGTTTTACACTCATTATTGTATAAGAGGAATCAAGACAAAGAATTAATCAAGTTCACTGTTCATTAGCAACGTAATAGATTAGCCGACTAGCCTACGTGTCAGTAGCACACTGGCACGATGGCGGCTGGCGACGGATGGTAAGCAGTGGGAGGTGTAGCCTGCGTGAACTGTGATGCGCAGTAATTAGTGGAGGACGATTGTGTTCGTTACACGTCCGCGAAGCGGCACGCGGTATAGTACTTGTGATGTAAAAACACTGCTAAACCATAAAATATAAAATAAATTAAAAAATCTTTTTTCACAGTGGCAGCATTTAAAGAAAATATACGCTTTTCGAAAATCTTACGTGGGTCACAACAAATAGCCTCGCAGGCCGGATGCGGCCCGCCGGCCGCCTGTTGGACAACCCTGCACTAAACGGAAAAATAAATTTATTTAAGTATTCGTCATGGCTGAAATCTCTCACTGACTTAACCCTCCTCAGTCTCCCTTAGGTACTAATATTTTTCTTTAAAAAAATAATATTTTGTTTTTCATTATGCCATATTTATTCCCTTCGATAAGCCATCATTTCACGCATATTTTCTATATAACATAATTTCGATGTTTTATATCTGCCAGGAGGCCCGAAAATTCTTCTTTTTTGTATTTTTCTTTTAATTTGATACTTAATTGATTTCAAAATTTATTACCACAAGCTGATGAAACGTTCATAGTCAGAACAATGACCGATAATGTCATTAGAAATGCATATCCACTAGTACGTAGTCCAGCTAACCAGTAAGCAGTTATTACAAATATTAATGGTTCCAATATAAATCCTGGCAGCTAAAAACAACAATAGATTATTAGACCTTTTAAAGAGCAATATAAATATAAAATCAAAAAACAGATCAAGATTATAAAAGAAAAGAGAAAATAATAACTATGTTGATGAATTAATCTGGAAATAAACGCAACGACTATTAGTTATAGTGTGGTGCAAAAAAGAAGAGTTACAGCTGAAACCTACTCAAAAGGTATAAAAATAATAAAATACAAAGATTATCAAACAAAACTTGGACAATATAGAATAATATATACTTAGAAAATAATGGTAATAAATTTAATATTACCTAGACGTAGTAATATTAATCTAAGACAAATAAGAAATTTGATATTGTTTGAAATGTTAATGAATAATAAAAATAAGTAAAGTAAAAATAAAGTAAATAAGTAAAATAATAATAATAATAAAACAAACGCTTCCTAAACATAATACCTAATCTAAAACATAAGAAATTTCATATTCTTTAAAATATAATAAATAAAAAAAAACAAGCGCCCCCGGGTGGGCTCGAACCACCAACCTTTCGGTTAACAGCCGAACGCGCTAGCCGATTGCGCCACGGAGGCTGGTGGCAAAGTTTTATTTTAACGACATTTTATATCGAAATTCTTTAATATAAACTAAAAGTAAATGTACATGTATGTAGGTATATTTTTTAATAAAACCAAAAAGTAGAAATCACAAAATTTCTTGGTTGTCGAAAGTAAAATTCAGATTTTTACTTAAATCTGTGCCTTCTACAATTTACAAGACAAAACACACGATGGAAGGACCTTTTAGCTTGAGGAACTCATATTTCTGAATGAGCTGTCCTGCATGAAAGTGGTTTAAGTTCTCATAAAACAGTAGCATTTTCTAAATTAACAGCACCTCCTCGAGTTGCTGTTAATTTACAAGATGAGATTTACGAATCACAGACTGGACTGTTCAGCACTAGAGTGTTGTAATGTTTTCTGAGTCCAGTTTTTGCCTATGATGTCCAGATGGACGCGAACGTCATAGTTGGTCATAGCGTAACAGAGGCCCTCGTAGTATTTTGGTAGTATGAAGCTTGCGGGGAGCCCAATATATCAGGGGCCCATCTTGTCGTCTAACATTATGTAAAAATGTGTTATTACTATATTATTTTACGCATGCATACGCAACGTTTTTTAAGCAGTGTATGGAAATCTTCAAAAACTTCCCTCGATTTAGCAAAAACGAGCCCCGGTCTCGTAAGTATATGAAGTTTTCGCCATACAATATAATACGGTTGTATAAGTCTAAGTTTAAGAATGTAAATTTCTAAATAGGCATATTCGGCAAGTGTATCATTTCATATCTACTCCCCCCATAAATTCAACCGTTAGAATGACGACTTTAAACTATAATGCTTTGTACGTGACTATTGAAAGGTTTGAGAATTACAAGCCTTAATGAAAGATCAAACCCTTAATAAAATACAAGGGCCGATTCCTAAGATTGTCATACAAAAACAAGAAACTCAACCTGATAATACACAACAGGACAACGAGTTAACGAAATAGCCTGGTTAACGAAATGACACACGCCGTACAAGAGTTAAATGGAACAAACCCACTTAGCAGACCACCACTACCAAGAGTAAACTCTTGTAAGAAACTAGGTGTGCTGTTACAAATTATGAACACTGAAGTGTATGGGCATTAAGACCAGAACACGTTAGGGTAATGATATCGGAAGGGCAGATAACAGATTTGCACCTTGAAAAAACCGCAGCTAATGAAAATTTGATCATTACGTAGGGACATTGGTCAAATTACAGACTATGTTCGAGGAACAACAAGTAGAAAAGTAATCAGAAGAGCTGAAGAAATAATGCTAACCACTGCAAGACACTCACAATATAAACCTGAAAACAACACAGCACAACAGTGCCTGGATAGATTAAAACAAAAACTTTCCATTTACTCAGGCCGACTAAGGAGATACAAAATTAGTAACAAACAAAAATCAAACAATACGCTTTTTAAGAATGCCAAGAAGGCATTGGAAACTCAATTCTACTACAGAAAGTGCCAATAAATCTTATCCAAGCCGAGAAGAAATCCATGAGTTTTGAGGAAATCAAATTTCCACACCAGCTGCTCTTAACACCAATGCTGGATGGATCAAAGATACGGCGCACAACTGCCAACACTACGTTACTGCTTCGCTAGTGAAGACATTTTAAATATTATCAAAGAGCTTCATAACTGGAAATCTCCTGGACCAGACTGCGTTCAGAACTTCTGGCTTAAGAAGTTGTGCAGTATTCATGATTGCTTATCAGCAATAATTAATCCCACTATTTCTAATCCGCAGGAAATACCATCTTTCCTAACCCAGGGAACAACTTTAATACCAAAAGATCCAAATAACACCCAAGATCCTACCAAGTACCGCCCAATTACTTGTCTTCCAACTCTGTATAAATTTGTCACATCCTGTGTAGCCCGTCGTATCAATCAACACTGTGCAACAATAACATAGAGCCTCAGCAGAAAGGATGCGCTAAGGATTCCATGGGCTGCAAAGAACAACTTATCATCGACTCTGTCATTTCTAACCAAGCATTATAGGAAAAAACGGAATCCCTTTACTGCTTTCATCGACTACAACAAGGAGTTTGATTCAGTACCGCATGAATGGCTTATAGATATATTAAAAATATATAATTTCGGTAATAACATAGTGACCTTTTAAAAACATATAATGTCAGATTGGAAGACAAAAATTCACCTCCAAATACCTGGTGACAACAATATCGAAACTGAAACTATTGCAGTCAACCGGGACCTATTTTAAGGGGTTTCTTTGGGCCCACTGTGGTTTTGTCTAGCGATCAACTCTCTATTCCAAGTACGGAACTCAACTGACACAGGTTTTAGCATAAAAAATAACACCACTGTTGTTGCAAAGCTTAATCATCTATTGTATGGTTGATTTAAAACTATTGGCTTCCACTCGAAGTCACCTGGATCAGATGCTAAAAACGTTAGAAAATTTCTCTGATGAAAAGTACGAATACACCTCACAAAGGTACAAAAACACCACCCTCGAAGTGCAGTAGAAAGTATGACATTACCGCGATATTTAGGAGGACGAGAACTTGTGGATATAACTGAGCAACTAGAAAAACAGATTACTAATTTAATAATTTATTTTCAAGTGCAGGCTGAGACATCTATTCTACATCGCGCGATTTGTGAAGTAGATGATACAACACCGATCAAACTGAGGAAACCAGAAATGTGCCATAAACCATACTAAGGACGAAAAAATGCGCACCTGGATGGGTAAAACTCTGCACAGCCGACATCCCAATGAGGTCAGTCAAGACCATGTCGACAATATAGCGTTGAACTATTGGCTGACATCAGGAAATATGTTCCCTGAAACAAAAGGTTCACTACTGGCCATTCGAGATCAGGTTATACCAACCAAAAATGACCTGAAATATATCGTCAGAGACCCTCAGGTCTAAAATGACAAATTACAATATAGATGTCAAGCTCAGGAAACCATCCATCATCTAACCGAGGGCTCTCAGGTATTTGTTGCAAGTTAATATAAGGAACGGCACGACTCAGTAGGAAAGATCCTTCATCAAGAGATAGCTATCAAACTGGGACTTCTTCGAACAAACCATCTTCATTATTATCAATACGTTCCTGAAAGTATACTTGAGAATGACAACTACATCTCATAATAATTAATAAACTTAAAAAACAAACAACATTAATTTATGTGGCGATTCCCAACAACAATAATCTTCGTGTTAAACAGAACGAAAAAATCGCCAAGTACAGGGATCTGGAAATTCAAATACGAAGACAGTGGAGAATGGAAAGTATTCAGACAATACCTATTATTCTCTTTACTACTGGAGTCATTCCAAAGGACCTTCTAGAAAGCATAAAAAGCTAGGTCTGAATGAACATCTCTACAAGACCATACAGAAAACTGTATTACTCTCAACGTCCAGATGTGTACGAAAATGTTTGGGAGGTACTCCAGCATACCAAGTCACCTACGGTTCGATAAGACGGAAAGAGTCCCACCAGAGCCCTTTTGATACCGTAGGTATCTGGGATGAATGCATTTTCTCATTAGAGGGAGTGTAAGCCATATGGCTAAATCTGGATAATAATAATAAACTGACATTAATTTAATTCCATACTTACCAATGACAAAATTCTTGATAAATAGTAAGTTGCAGGATGGTATAAACCAGACTTGTACTCCCTTAAAAACAAGGGTAAGTAAGATGGAAATTGATGCAGCACACTGTACATGGGATTAAATGTATTTTCGCTAACAAACATAAAGATTATTCCTGTCACAGACTGTACACCATTCTGTGTTAAGGCATCTGTCCCAAGATAACAGAACCCGACTATGAAGCCAATCAGCTGAAAATAATAAGAGCTTAAATTGTTGAATAATAATACACTTCTTTTTTTCTTAATTTTTATAAGACTTTCACGTTGGTAGTACGTTTGGTAAAACAAACTTTTATTAGTGAAAACTACAACCTACACATAATTCATAAATGTACCTACGTTGATATAGAATGTTTGTTATTTGAAACGAAACTAGAAACAATCACGAGAAGTGATTGCTTTTCACTTAGCCAGAGTAAATCAGCTAAGCGATAAACGCGACTAAATTATATAATCAATAATAAGGTAAGTCTAACCATAACAACAGTTATGTTTAGACAATAATAATCTGATTACAACGGGATATCTTTGGTAACTTTTGTCCAATTAACCTCAAATTCAGCAAGAATCGTAAAAGATAAAGAGGAATGTATGTACCAAGCGGTGTAAATAATCTACGACTTCTCCTTTAAGAGTTGCTGAGTCTTTTCATACAGGAAGACAGATAAAAATTGACAAAACTTCAAGAAGGATTTGTCTGGTCTGATCCTAAATAGTTCCGTGACGTTGAGTTCATGTTCGCTTGTGTAGTTGTTCTACTATAATAAGTAAATTTGAAATTAATGAGGGAGTGAGACAGGATGAACCATTTTGTTCAACCTAGTTCTTAAAGTTAGTATTTGAAAAGCCAATGTAACTGACCATATAAATATCATGTCAGCTTAAATGATGTATAACGCTTTAAGCGTGTGGATACTTTTATGTACTTGGGTTCTTCTTCTTCACGTGCCATCTCCGCTACGAAGGTTGGCTATCATCATGGCAATTTTGACCCTGGAGGCTGCCGCTCGGAACAATTGTATGGAAGTGCAAGCAAACCACTCCCTGAGGTTTCTCAACCATGACATTCTTCTCCTATCTATGCTGCGCCTACCTTCAATCTTTCCTTGCATAATTAGTTGTAACGGTTGATATTTATTCCCACGTGTAATATGTACCAGGTATTGTAGTTTCCTCATTTTAACACTCAATACGACCTCCTTTTGTTTGTTCATCCTGTCTAATACAACTAGGTTAGTTATCTTATCCTTCCAGGAGATTTTTAACATTCTTCGGTACGCCCACATCTCAAATGCCACCAGCTTACCCATACATTGCTTATTTAGTGTCCACGCCTCCACCCCATATAACAGGACCGAGAAAACAAAACATTTAAGCATTCGTATTTTCAGCTTTAGGCTTAGGTTTCGGCTACACAACATTTGTTTCATGTTGTTAAAGGCACTGCGGGCTTTCTCTATTTTTATTCTTATTTCTCTGGTGTATTCGTTTGACTCGTTAATATTTGTTCCGAGGTAATTGTAATTTTGTACTCGTTCAATGAGATTCTGTCCTACATGTAAGTTGATATTATTGATACGTTTCTTTGTAATTATCATGAATTTGGTCTTCTTTGTATTCAGTGACAGACCAAATTCTTCACTTGCTTCTACCACTTTGTTTAGTAATCTCTGTACGTCGTCAATATTTTCTGCTATGAGCGCGGTATCATCAGCATATCGGATATTGCAAATGGGGTGACCGTTGATCTTTACTCCGGCTTTTTCGTTCATAAGAGCTTTTTTAAAAACTTCTTCCGCGTAGACATGTACTTGGGTAGAGCAATAAATTAAGGGAATCCCATTCGTAGCGAAATAAATGATATTGCTAGTGGAAACTTTGCATACTATTCCAGTAAAAGATTGATAGCGTCCAAATTATTAAATAGAAAATTCAAAATTATCATTTAGAGAAACCTAATTAGATCTATAACAACATATGAATGTGAGACAAATATATAAAGAACAACTTAGGATATTTGAGAAAAATTATTAAAGGTTTTGAAAGAAGTGACATTTATTGTACGATTTATAAAAAATGAGAGACTGACATGTCTAAAGGTTATAAGATACAGAACAGTTAGAAAAATGGTGCAATGGAATAAGACATATGAAAGGAAAAAAAACAGAAACGTGAGAAGATCAGAAATTATGAGACGATGTGAAGGATAACTAGAGTACGATAAATATAAGAGAACAGAGTAGAAGGACACAAAAGATATCTGAATAGAGGGAAATAGCTAAACAGGAAACGACTCACTTGTTACAAAGTCAAAAGAATTAGAAGAAGTATGTGCTTACTTTTTTATCGCAGCTCTATTTATGAGTCTTTCCATACATTGTATTAAAAAAATGCGCTCCGTACTTACACTTTCTACAGAAGCATAATAATGTTTAATTTTTTCTTACCATTCTTTGTGCAATTTTCATTGCCTCCAATGACGGGTCTCTATAAATCTCCAAAATCCATCTGTACGTTAACCAAAACAATTTTGGCAACCAACGAATTTCTTTGCTAAAAACAATAATTTTTTGTAAGATACGTTCTTTTTATTAAATAGTCTACTTACAAATTTTGACGCAATTCAAATTTTCTTTGCTTAAACAAAAATATAATTAAATTTTTTATTTATTTTATAAATATATTATATATATATATATATATATATATATATATATATATATATATATATATATATAATAAAGAATGAAAAAGGATAATGCGAGTGAATAATACAAGTAAAATGTAATGGTATGTCTCGCACAACCAAAAAAGGTATATCGGTGGAAGTCAACCGTATATATGTATTTCTTATTATTGGTCGTCTTCAGTATGGTGCAGCCAAGTTAGAAAAGGAGCATGTTAACTTGGGAAAGGATCACTACAGGAGCAATGCGACCAATTTGTGGCATTAGGGTTAGAGGACCTGAAGGTTTCCAAGGCAACAACTAAAAATAACCACGGAGGAAGCTACAACTACCTGGGGAAAGGAATGCCAAACATTGAAACGTTTAAAACAAATAAAAAAGGCCAGAAATTGGTCGCATTGCTCCTGTAGTGATCCTTTCCCAAGTTAAAATGCTCCTTTTCTAACTTGGCTGCACCATACTGAAGACGACCATTAGTCAGAAATACGTATATACGGTTGCCTTCCATCGATATACCATATTTGGTTTTCTCTTTTGCGAGACATGCCATTACTTTTTACTTATATAGCGTATACATATACAGTGCTTTTCAGATAAAACTATCCACCTTAAATAACTTTTGAACCTCTAATTTTTTGGAAAAACGCAAGAACACGTCAATTAATATTTGAAGGGTGAGACAGTATATCATATTTAAGGTTGCTGGGAAATGCACCCTTTCAACCCCTGCATCAACCCTTTATTTTTTTTAAATTACTTTCCTCCTTTTTTATTTTATATTTGGATTCTCCTTTTTGTGTTGATTTCAAAAATGTATAATACTGTTATGATTTTAAATGTTATGGCGTATAGAACTGTAAATATTTTATGACTTATTCTTTTTTATTGATTCTCGTAATTTCTAGGTCAAAAATCTACCTGACACCCTTTGGGTTCCCTTCGCTAAAAAAAACAACAATCGAACTTTCTGGGGACGAGCCGATGAAAAACATACCAGTTTTGAGACCAGTCGCTGCTCTGTCTAGTCGAGAATGCCATCGAACCTTCGATGATGTTCCATTTCAACAGATGATTTCATATAAATAACGGAAGATTTTTATTGAGCGGGCAGTCAAAAAGAAGATCGCGATCTCGCGTTAAATTGTAACGAACGCAAATAAATTATTTGTAATTATTAAGTGTAAAATAAATTAGTATAAAATAAAGACTTTTGGTGAATTATCGTGAGTTTTAATAAATTAGAATAGATAGATAGATAGATAGATAGAAGACAATAAATTAGACTAATAAAAGCATTATAATACCTTTGGCTTGAAGTGATTAGTTTATGAGATAGACAATTTTCCTGTTAACAAGGATAGTATCTCCCTCACCTTAAATGACTGTAACAAAATAGGTTGTAGCATAATTTTAACTTTTTAAATATTTAACCTTACTATTTGTAGTACCTTCAAAAACCAAGAAATAAAAAATTCACTTTTTAATAAAGTTTTATTAAAGGTTAAGGATAACTTTTCCGAAGATTTTGTTGTATTTCAACATGATGGAGCTTCTCCACACTTTGCTTTACCTGTCTGATAATTTTTAAACGAAACGTTTCTTGGTCATTGGATAGGGTAAAGTCGATAGATGATCGATTTACCACCTAGATCACCAGATTGAACACCCCTAGACTTCTTCTATCAAGGGTATTTAAAGACAAAAATGTATGAGACTTGTGAGATTTGTGAGACAAACAGAATCTCTTGATGATATACGACAAAAAATAGAGGATGAATGTCGACACTTAAATGCAGACGTGTTAAGCAATGTAGAGAAGAATTTCAAAATAGATTATACTATTGTATGGAAGTGAAGGGCAGTCATTTTGAACAATTATTGTCAAAATTTTTAGCAGTGAAATGTTCATTCTAAATGTGTGTAATAAAATTGTTAAAAAATAATTTTTTTTTCAATCCAGTTTTCTTGCTTTTGTATCTATTTTTCTCATAAAGTAATCACTTCAAGCATCATGTATTATACATTTCTGAAATCGGTACAAAGAGGAGAATCCAAATATCGAATAAAAAAGGAAGAAATAATTTACAAAAAATGAAGGGATGATACGAGGGGTGAAAGGGTGCATTTCCCAGCAACCTTAAATATGATATAATGTCTTCCCCTTCAAATATTAATTGACGTGTTTTTGCGTTTTTCCTAAAATTTAGAAGTTCAAAAGTTATTTAAGGTGATTAAGATTTCTAGATTGTGATGGACATTATATAGGGCTAACATCGCAGTGCTTAAAACAAATAATAACGCAGAACAAATATATTGCAAAACAGAGAAAAATTATTGTACAGTCTCCTAAGCCTTCAGACACTACTTCACTTCCTTCCATTCAGAAGGAGATTTAACTTCAAAAAGGCAAACTGGCAAAAGTATGCAGACGTGCTAGATTTTAAACTACTACGCATTAAATCAAAAGTAGAGAACTACGAAAAATTCGTAGAGGTACTCAAAAATGTGTCTAGAAAAACTATCCCTAGAGGATGTAGACAATAATATGTTCCCGGGATGTCCAGCGAGTCCAAAGAACTAATGAGAACATACGAAAACCTCTATTCCACTGACCCTTTTAGCCAAGAAACCGTTGAATGCGGAGCAGTACTACTCCAACATCTAAGTCAAGCCAGACAGAAAAAGTGGATTGAGACCCTGGAAAAAATGGACATGACACATGGTAGCAAAATAGCATGGAACCTTGTAAAAAAACTCAGCGGTGATCCAAAAGAACATAAACCACCTTGCAAGGTTACAGCAAACCAAGTCGCTACTTAACTCCTTACGAATGGAAGAACTACTAACCGATATAAGGACCCAAACACTAGGAGAAGATTGGATTCGGAGACAAACCATCTAGGAACTCCTTTTACACTAAAAGAACTCCACGACGGTCTGAACAGGTTAAAAAACGGGAAAGCTGCAGGTGTGGATGATATATGCAGTGAACAAATAAAGCATTTAGGCCAAGGAGCAAGAAACTGGATCTTGCAATTTTATAACACGTGCTGTAAAACCTGCAAAATTTAAAAATCATGAAGGAAATCTAAAGTAATAGCCTTATTAAAACCAGGAAAGGATCCAGCAGACCACAGTAGCTACAGACCTATTTCGCTATTGTGTCACTTTTTAAACTATACGAGAGACTCATACTCGCCAGAATAGAAAAAAATTTCGACAAGCACCTCATCCCACAACATGGAGGATTCAGACCTGGCAAATCTTGCACCGGTCAAGTCCTCGCATTAACAGAACACATTGAAGAGGGCTTTGAAGAAAAACTTATAACATAGGCTGCTTTTGTAGATCTGACAGCAGCGTATGACATAGTAAGGCACAAAACATTGCTCCGCAAATTATACGACACTCTCAATGACCACCATCTGGGAAAGGTCGTATATTCCTTACTGCAAAATAGACGTTCTTTCATTATGCTGGAGGGTAAAGTAAGTAGGTGGAGAGTTCAAAAAAACGGCCTCCCACAGGGAAGTGTTTTAGCATCAATGCTCTTCAATATATACACAAATGACCAACCTACTCCGACCGAAACCAAGCACTTCCTCTATGCTGACGATCTTGCAATATGTGCTCAAGGAAATAGTTTTGAAAAAGTGGAGGAGAAACTCGAAACTGCCTTAAAAACAATGACAGCGTACTACTTGCAGAATTCTCTGAGACCTAATCCCTCTAAAACCTAAGTCTGCGCTTTCCACCTTCGCACAAAGGAAGTCAAGCGAAAACTCCAAATTGTGTGGAATGGTAATGCATTAGAACACACAAACCAACCTATATATCTTGGAGTAACTCTGGACCGGTCCCTCACCTACAGACAACATTGCATAAAAACAAGAGGAAAAGTAACAACTAGGAACAGCATACTTAGAAAGCTAACGGGAAGTAAATGGGGCGCACGTCCTGGCGCTTTAAGAACAACGGCACAGGCACTGTGTTTCTCAACTGCTGAATATGCGTGCCCCGTTTGGAGCAGATCTGCCCACACCAAACGAGTTGATACTGCGCTAAATGAGACGTGCAGGATAGTAACGGGGTGCATGAAACCAACGCCACTTTCAAATCTATATAGAGCAGCGGGTTTTGCAGAACCCTCAACACGCAGAGGCGCTGCAGAACACATAGAGAAAATTAAACAGACCGTGGAGCATCGGCATGCCCTATACAAAGCTCGAACACCACGAAAGCGACTAAAATCTAGGAAAAGCTTCCTTGGAACAGTGCAGGATGAACCGCCTGAATATTTTAAACTTCCCCAGGTTCAATGGACCGGCCAGACCCTAGACTTTAAAACGTGGAAAACCTTGAATAGGATGAGAACGGGGGTTGCTACAGTAAAATCAAACATGGCAAAATTGGGAAAAATAGACCAAGATGATGTGAACTGTGACTGTGGAGAAACACAGAATATGGAACATCTTCTTACATGCAGAAACTGTCCTCATCGATGTACCCTTGAAGATTTGTGGCTCGCCAACAAAGATGGAACCGTCGTAGCCCGATACTGGGCCGAAATTTTATGAATGACATGTCCGGAGACAATAAAGTAAAGTAAGTACTACTGCACTGTTTACTAATTAGTATACTACTGCTACTGGGGATAGCGAACGGTTTATTTATATCGTAGATGATGACGTGGCTTGGGTGAGGGTTGGGGTCGAAGATTTCTTACAGCGGAAATTTGATAATTAATAGGTAAATAGTACCAAACTTTGTTTTAGATCAAATTGTTGATTAAATTGTTTATCTTGGATATCAGTTAAACTGTAACGCAGAGAGTCATAGTGAAATTAAGTGCAGAATTGAGTAGACCAGATCCACTTTTAGAAAGATGACCAAGGTATTGTGTTACAGAGACCTAAAATTGGCATTGCGGATCCGTCTTACTTTATGGTGACGAGTCTTGGACTGTGAATAAAAACAATCTAAATCGCTTTAAAGCTTTCGATATGTGGTGTTATAGAAAAGTTTTAAAAGTTTCTTGGGTGGAGAAGATCCGAAACTCCACAGTAGTAGAACGTCTCAGCAAGACTGCTGAGATTACAAAAAGCATCAAGTAGACAAAGCTGGAGTACTTCGAACATTTATTGAGAGGTCCTCCCAAACATAGAATGTTATACAATACTATGCAAGGAAAAATAGCAGGCAAATCCAGTTCAGGGCGAAAAAAGACTTCATGGTTAAATAACTTGCGAGATTGGTATAGTATTGATACAATCATGCTATTCATGGTGAAAGTGAATAAAATTAAGATAGTTGTGACGGTAACCAACGTTTTGAAAGGATCTGGTACATGAAGAAGGAGGGATTTTGATTGGAAGGTGAAGTAGTCGATATTTTCCTTATGAGAGATCTTCATGTCGAAGTAACCGAATGTCGTCATCTCTTTTATTGAGACAATTTGGCCTTCATAGAGATTGAAAAAACGATGATTCTTGGTTTATAGAATCGTATTGGGGCTATGGTTCTGGAGTTTTCAAAATCAATTTTGTGACCTGTATAAAGATGGTGTTGAGCTAGAACTGAAATTGAATCGGACTTGCGAACAGAAATGGAATTTTCATAACTTATATTTTGGATTCTATGATTTGTTTGCTCTACATAAGATTGGGTGCAGTCTGCACAAGGAATTTCATAAACTTTGTATTCTTGAAAGATTGTCTTTAATTGGTCAGACAAAAAAATGAAAGTTTTTGTTGGAAGTCTTTATTAAGGAGAAGAAAAACTGCTTATGATGAGGGTCTGATTTTTTGGGTTGAGATTGAGTGGGAGTGGGAATGGGAATGGGAATGGGAGTGATTTTCACGGTAACCATTTTTGGATTACGGCTGTTTTAAGTAGAGAACTCAGCGGTTCTACTAGTATCATTGCAAAGGCGTATTGATCTAGATTAATGGCTGAATTAATTTGTGAAGGTGTATGATGAGTGTTGGCATGCAAGTAACAATTGGTATGAGTGGGTTTTTCATAAACAGAGTAATAAAAATCTTGGGACTGGTTTTTCCTTATGATGAAATCCAGAAATGTTAGGAATGAGTCAGTTCTCATCTTCATCGTAAACTGCATACTAAGATATATTTATACCATTCAATGTATCCTTAACATATTGTAGCCAATATGTGGGTTTGAACATTGGTGTGGAGAGGTCTCGAGTTTTTAAGTCTTTCATAAAAATATTAGTCACTTACTAGAGAGAGTTGGGAGCCCATTGGGGCACCATTTATTTGTGTGGAAGAATTTTGTAAGATGAAATACTTGATGATAGATGAAGTGTTACACATTCAATGCTTAATAAAAAAAGTGGTCTTGCTAGATACTGTATTAAATTTTCAAAATGTTTAGAGTTTCGTCTATAGAAATGTTGGTAAAGATGTCGAAACGTACTAGAATGTCTGACGGTGCCATAGGTTATTGTTTAGGTTCGATAAAATGAATAGAATTTTTGACTGAAGGATGAAGCATTTTCGGCGAAAGGTTGTAGAGTTTTGGCCAAATACTTGACCAACTAATGGTGAATTGACCACGGACGGACAACTATATTTTCTAAACATAAATTAGGATTTCGGTACTACAAAATTCTGATACAATTTCTGCTCTGGTCTAGTATTAGTCAAACAGGTCTAAAAATACTTTGAAACTTTTAGAACCATAGCCCCCGTTCGTTTTCATAAACTGTTTTTGAAAGTCTCGGTTACCTTCAACATGGAAATTTTTCTCAAGCAAAATAAATCATCATCTGTTTCTTCCACCAGTTCACCTTTTAAAGACAATAATGCTTGAGCCTGCCCTGCACGTAAATACTGCATCAGCCAATTAGGATCATCGGCAGTAGTGCCGTGAATAGTGAACTCAGTAGACTGAAGTACCGGAGTATCTGATGAAGTCTCCAGAGATTTAGTGGAAATCTTGGTCTAACAAAATTTAACGTGATGCAAACCGGAAATTAAGAAAGTTTAATATTACTTTCTCTACTGATATTAATATATAATATTATATATTCAAAACTCACTGTTGCAACTCTGCCCATATGAAGTTCGTATTGTACTACAATTTCGACTTCTTTTGCTTCATCACTAACAGCAAATTGGTCACATATTCTTTTAACTGTTTGCCTACAGTTGTCTTCGTAACCTGGAGTCGTGGATAGAGTCTTAATATAAAAATCAGCAGGGTTGTAAGATGTTGGACATACATAACCCATCCTAAAAGTATTCATTTAATATATACCTTACTGTATATTTACCAATAGAATATAAAGATGGCTGTAAAACCCGGCAAATATTTTTAGAGTAATTGCTAGGAAAAATTAATAGTTTTTAATAATAAGTTGTTTTGTACAGTTTTATTTGTCAGGTTTTGCAGAAACAACGATGATAATTATGGTCGTTTATACAAGTACAGTAAAATTACATATGTGATCCGTAGCGGCAAATAGGTATTCAAATTGCATATTTTGCATCTAATGCATAAAAAATGCAAAAATGTCAAATTTTTCATATTTTATAAAAGTGAGCATAAAGTGCATATAATTTGAAAATTTGGTTATATTCAAACAGCATGAAAATGCCAATATTTAATTTTATTTTATAATCACTTGGTATTTAAATTTTTAGTACAGTAACTAATAAAAGACAGCGGCTTATAGTTTTGTCCTGGAATTAATAGTTTGTATAAACCAATTTATGTCTCTAGGTAAAAATGTTTATTTTGACGGTCAGTTTAACTTGGTTTCACTTTTGTTGTAAACTTAGAGGCGTTGACAACGTGTATTTCTAGTTGTGAATAATTATTGTGCTTTGAAAATTCCGAAAATAAGCAATGTTTCAACTTGGATAAAACCCAAAGAGCTATGGATGTGGATAAAGTTTATTGCCCATGTTGTGGTAAAACCGTAAGTACATACGTATTATTTTTTATTTTATTTTAAAAATTTACACAGTGATACAAACAAAGATTTTAAAATTGGAGATTGAAAAATTGGTGTAAGGCTCTTCTCCTTACGAATTTGGACCCTCTAATGCTGGGCATCACCCTTTCCAACCCAGCTGTAATATTCGCAACTTTCCGGGTAACTTTCCATTCTAGTGCAACGATATTGTCTCTCCTCCATTGCCTTCATTACCTCGTTCCGCTGTAGCTTATTGGATTCCGTAAGACAGAATCTGGATTCATCGGAAAACAATACACGACTCCAATTCTGTATTGTACAAACCAAGTGTTCTCGTCCAAAATTTAATCTGATAATTCAGTATTCACGAGAAAGAGATGGTCCAGTTACTCTAGTTCGAGAAGATAAACCAGCAGCATAAAGCTGCCTCCTAACTGTCCATTCACTTACGTTTACAAAGTGGTCATCTCCAGCTGTTGAAATTCTAGGTCTTCGAATAAGCGGACCAGTCTCTTCGTACTGTTGCTACAGTATATTGCTAATAAAGAATTATTTAGCAATATACTGTGCTGTCGCCATACTCTTTGCTCACTCGAGAGGCTTACAACGTTTCGCGGTGACCGTGGCCATCTTCTAACGCCGCCACAACAAAACTAATGCTCATTGCATTACACTGACAGTGTAATGCAATTCATTAATTAACTATGTTTCAAACGAAAAAAGTTAAAAAAGATTAATAATTTCTAAAATAAATTCAAATTACGGGGTCACCCTAATTTCATGCTCGGTAGTAAATTAAAAAAAGTTTTACTTTCTTACATCATATGTATATTTTATAAAATATATACATATTTTCTTTCTTTCTTTTGTATACTGCGATATGAAATACATATTAATATTTGAAAACTTAAATAATTGATTTACAATTTAAAAATGAATTTAATGTGCTCCATTGTAGTTTAAATTGATTACCTAATAGTATTACTTTTAAAAGCTTTTTATAAATCTAGACTTCCATTAGATATTACCTTTAATTTTTTCCAATGTATATTTATTAGATTTGTATTTGTCATCCAGCTTAATTAGATAAAATATTGGAACCGAATATTCAAAAAAGTCAAAAGCTAATATAATTATTTAGGTAGGTACATTTTCATGCATATCATAGATAATATTATTTAGTTTAAAAGCTTTTACAAACAGTGTTTAAAGCTTTGTAAGCTTTAATATAATAATATATATATATATATATATATATATATATATATATATATATATATATATATATATATATATATATATATATATATATATATATATATATATCCTAGTCAAAAGTCCGTTCCCCCCTCGTATCTTTTGAACGGTTATCCCTATACATAACAGTGAAATTTGGAGGTAGGTAGGAACAGACGTAGACCTTTTAACTAGTCATAACAAATGATGTTATAGTGATATATGAAAGGTATTGAAAATACCTATTCAACCATACTAATTTTATTTGAGTTAAAATTGAGTTGAAATAAATATTAAAATTGTAGTCCCGCATTTAATTAATAAACATTAAAACCTCCGCCTGTGGTTACTTGTCAAAAAGTTGACCTTTTTCAATTATCTTATTGGTTTTACGTCAATGTCAACTTTTTTGACAATTAACCATAGGCGAACGTTAGAATATTTATTAATATACCTCATCAATGATACTAATTTTGTTTGAATTTAAGATGATTTTGCGGAATAAATTAAATAAATACTAAAATTTTAGTTTGTCATTTATTTAATAAAAATTCTAAGGTCCGCCTTTGTTTATTTGTCAAAAAAGTTGACGTTTAGGTATCCCGATCGCCCTACATTGAGAGCTTATTTGAGGAAACTTCTTCGGAAGTTTAAACAAACAGGTAGTGTTTGTTTAAATGTCAAACGATCTGGTCGACCAACAATTAGTGATGACAAAAAAATTGACATTATTTCAGAAATGGTAGTGAACCCTACTTCTTATATAGCCCAAGTTGCATATATCTATGGAATCAGTTAAAAGACAGTTCACAGAATGTTTGCTGAAAACAAATTACATCGATACAAATTAAAAATTGTGTTCCAACTTTAAGATGATGACCCTGACCGAGATTAGAATTCTTTAAAAATACGTCCAATAAAATTAACCAACAGCCCAATTACATAAAAACAATATTTTTAGTGACGAAAGTACTTTTTCTCTCAATGGAAATGTTAACACACACAATGTGAGGTATTGGAGTAGCATAAATCCTCACGTCATGACGATTTGATTTCTAAAACAAGAATACAGGAAAATGGAGCCCTTCAAGGATCCTCGATTAGTGTTACTCTTTTTCTTATTGATATTAACTGTATTATGAAAAATAATATTCCACCAGTAATGAGTAAGCGCATAAGCAGATGATCTCATAATTTATTGTAAAGGAAGAAACATAGAACTAATTAAACAAACCTTACAAGATACTATTTCTGCATTAGAAAAATGGACCAATGAAATTTTGTACCAACAAAAGTAAATGTACCCATTTCACCAGAAAACATAATGTTAGAAGTCTAGAACATACAATCTTTAATACAAAAATAGACTATGTTGATTGTATTAAATTCTTTGGAATTAATTTTGACAAACATTTAAATTTTAATCAACATATTTATCATCTTAAAACATCTTGTCAACAACATTTGAACATAATAAAAGTCCTATCTACTAAAAATTGGGGATTTGATCAAGGCACCCTATTGACAGTATATAAAAGCCTTATTAGATCTAAAGTCGATTACGGTTCAATAGAGCTTATTCAAAATTCGGCTGTAAGAATAGCCTTAAGAGTTATTTGTACCACACCTACATATAGCTTACTATGTTTAGTAGGAGAAATGCCTCTGGAATTAAGAAGACAATATCTTAGCCTAGCATATGCTGCAAACGTTTCAATAAATAGTGAAAATCCCGTCAGAAACAATATCTTTGCTTCTCGTTTCCACACAACATATCTTAACAAAAAAAGATCTAAACCTCCTTTTATGAAAGACTTAATAGATACATGAAGAGTAATAATATTGTCTTCCCTAAAATATACCAAATCACCCTTTTAACCGTTCTCCCTTTGATGGTCAGAAAACCCTTCCTAGACTTAAGTTTAACAAAGGTTAGTAATCAACTTAATGCTTCCTCTAGGGTTAAACAATTTCACAGTAAAATTGATGAGTACCAGAATTACCAACATATTTATACTGTTGCCTCCAAATCAGAAAAAGGGGTGGGATGTGCCCTTATACACAACAACTACACTACTTCATACAAAATCTCAAATGTTAGCACAGTATATACAGGAGATCTATTCGCAATTTACAAAGCACTAGAATGTGCACTGAACGCCAACTTAGACAGGTGCCTAATAATGATAGATTCCTTAAGTTCCATGAGTAGCTTAGGCGTCATTTACCCAACTCATCCATTGTTGCGATTGATTAATAACCATGTGTACCAACTTCAGCATACATGGTAATCAAAGAGTAGATGCTGCCGCCAAATCTTCAGTTAACAACGAAGACTTGACAGAACCTACCTATAAGAAAGATTTTCATCACTGGATTATTTTCAACTCCACATTGAAAGAACAGTGTCTTCAAGAACGGAATCAATCTCAACAAAAAATACGAGACATAAAAACAACAGTTACAAGATATTAGTACATACACGCTTAACACATGAATTCCATATTACTCAAAGTGTCCACCCAATGTGCGGTAAGTGATTCAACAGTTTAAGTGTTTAACATTACTTAATCGAATGCCCTGCATATTCAAATGAGAGGAAAAAGTGTAACCTACCGACAACGCTACGCGAGTGTCTAGAAGAAAACGGTGTCTATTCATTAGTTTTAAGTTTTCTAAAATCAATAGGAATATACAACCAAATATAAACATCAGTGCGTGTACAAATAAATGTGTAATAGCCAATGCTTCTATTAGCCAATGTACTTAGTATAACTCAGATTTATGTATCTAAAAATCTCAATATGTCAAAATCAATATATATTAAGTATCCAACAATGTAAAAAAATTGTAATACCGAGCGGCGCTAATAACCACATAAGTTGATGCGCCTTAATTTTAAATAAAAAAAATACCACTATTTAGTAAGTTAATAATATATCGAGGATTCATCATTTATGTTTTAAAATAACCTTATAAATAGAATCAGAGTTTCATGTTAATATTGAGGGTAAACTAAATTTGGACCAAATACTTACCATGTCGGAATACATATTATCATAACGCTTTTTTCTTGATTGTTTCTGCATGATTATCTACACGATTACTAACAGAAAAATTTTACTGTCATCAGTGCATTTGATTGTCTTTTTAAACTCGAATGACATGCTTATTCGTAAATTAAAGTAGATTTCATGTAATAAAATAAACTATAAATAGAATTTTATAGTTATTTATTGTACAAGACGATAAAATTGTACTTTATCTTCGAGAGCGTTTTTTAGAATCGAGACGTCAGTCGAGACGCTAATTATGCTCGAGAAGATAATGCGATTTTATCGTCGTGTGCAATACAACATTTTTTTCTATAGCATGACTTCAAGTTCAGATGAAAAGTAGAATTTCAAAGAAAATTGTAATTTTTAGCACACAAATCGCAATTGTGTTGCTCCGTTGCTAAGGATATGAATTACTCTGTCAATAAATGTCAAACAAATGTTACAGAAAATCAATTCAGTACCTCGAATCAAGTGTTTAAGCAAACGAGTACAAGTTGTGATGCTCCAAAAATAGATATTTCTAATAATGTTAATTGTAAAATTTCAGTTGTTTTTTATCCTTAATGTTTTTGAATTTGTAAATTTTATTAAATAAAAAAAAGTTAAAACATTTTATCTACTCTTGCTGTTAAAGTGTCACTTTATCTACCCTAGCGGTTAAAGTGATACTCTATCTACTCAAAACAGTTGTTATAGCAACACTTTAACATTAGCTATAAAAAAAGTCATTTACTTTAAAATATATAATATATGTCTGAATTGTCAATATGAATAAGTCAGAAAATTAAATTATTAGAAGAATTGTTTACCAAGTAACAAAAAACAAAATTTGTTTAATTTATTAATGTTTTATATTTTGAGAAGGATTTCCGAAGTGGAAAATACTTAGTTTTTTTTTTTTATTGAGTTAATACCTCGACAACTATGATCATTGGCATGGTACAGTCAGGTACCTAGTGTGGTGTGTGTGTGTGTGTATGTGTAGAGTAATTGTCTTGATACTTAGCAAAGTCGACGTCATTGTCCTTGCTAAGAGACGCTAATTGTATCCGAACGTCTGCGGTCCCTCTGGTGAGTACCGATCGCACATGGATAGAAATTATTTTCATTCATTAATTTTTAATAAACAAAAATTTCTCCACCCCATGGATAGAAATTATTTTCATTCATTAATTTTTAATAAACAAAAATTTCTCCACCCAGATGGGATTCGAACTCACGCCCTTCAGGTTTAAATGTAGGCGCTCTTACCACTGAGTAACAGAGGGGGTAATACTTATTTTAAAGTAAAATTCTGGCTTATTTAAAATAAAAATAGAAAATTCTAATATGCTCATTAGTTGCATCGTTTTTTCTTTTATCTCTTTATAGTTTTTGTTGTTTTTTTTTTTAACATTTACCTTTCAAAGAAGTCAAGAGCATTGTTGGTAGAACCCATATAAGCTATACGTCCATCGGCAACTAAAATTAGTTGACTAAACATAGCAAATATATCTGAGGAAGGTTGATGTATCGTACACAAAATCGTTTTTCCGGTAATGGCCATTTGGTTCATAATTATCACCAATTTCTGAGCAGAATACGAATCTAGGCCAGTTGTGGGTTCGTCACAAAATAAAAGAGGTGGATCTGTAAGCAACTTTATAAATTATTAGTAATTTTATTTAATAACAAATATTTTTATAATATAACTTAAAACCTAACTTAAATGATGAACTTAAAGAAAATATTTTGAAAGACGAGATATTTCTGGTTATACCGGAAGTAATAACTATTACAATAATTATTATAATAATAACTTATTGCATTTTAAGATATTGCGTAAAATTCTAAACAAAATTTGGATTAGGTATTATAGGTCAAAACATATTTTTCGTGTTATTCCTTTTTTTTAAATCTTAATATTTCATTAAAAATCATTAAAAAAGTTAATTAATGTTTCATCCCTTTACAATCACAATGTCTTTTGCATCTACGTATTGCAAATCCTTCCTGTTCTTTTTTTATTTCTTCATTTGGGATATGATACAGTCTGTATATCCGACACGCTCTTAGTTAGTTAGTTTCATCGAGCAATAAGACAAAAGGGGGAATGTAAAGGTAGTGGGGGCAAACATATTGTTAGACAGGAAGTGCGATCTTTAGAGGCCACATTAAACAAGGAAAGAGAGTCTCTCTCCTTGTTTGACATCAAATTTAGTTGGGTTATGTTATTGTTTGTCCCAAATGTCACATGAAATCTTATTTATATTGAAGTTTTTTAACAATTGTGTCGCATTTTAGACTATTATCATTAATAATTAATTAAAACTTTCTCGTCTAAGACACATTCTGAAAAATATTATATAGCTACTGTTGATAAGTGTCGGAAAATTTAAATTTGGCGCATTCACATTTCCGGATATGTCCGCCATCAGAGGCCACTTTTTTGGTCTCCTTTTCATAAGCATTAGATTCCCTCTTTTGTCTTATTGCTCGATGGTTAGTTTACACCAAGGTTAGTAGATATTAAGTAGGCTGTCTCATGGCTCTTAACTATGTGGGCGAAGCGAGGGGAAGGTAGAATGCTTACGTCACTCATACGACAAAGTCAAATTTGACAGTTGGTGGACAGTTGTCTGCTCTGCACGTTTGTTGTTGTCTTATACCTTGTTGCATTTTTTCGTATTCGTATATTTTTGTGGAATTTTCCTATAGTATCATTAGTTCGTTTATTTGTTTAGTTATTGTTTAGTTTTTATTTTTAGGTATAGGTATAAGTACAATATTATTTATAGAGACTTATTATTTAGTTATTTGTGTACATGAAAACTTGTAAAGTGTGTTTTCGTAGCCGTGATATCAAGGTTTGTCAACAATTATATGTAGTTTTGTACGTTATAATAATGAAATAATTTTTAGATGAGTGGCTGTAACATATATAGCATAGCTACCTGTAATAGCAACTCAAAAATTCTTGATGCAGATGGAAACAAAATAATGCTTTTCACGTTTCCCAAAAACCCCAACGTTATCAAACAATGGGTCATAAAATGTGGCCTGAAAGATCAGTGGTCGCTAAAAACAAGAAAATATGTAGTAAACACTTCCTACTGTCAGATTATGAAGATGAACTACAAGCCCGTTTACTGAATTAGCATGCAAAACAGTTAAAAAAAGATGGTAAATATACCTAAAATAAAATACCTACATATTATTATGTACAAACTAGTTATTACAAGTTTTGTTTATTTACTTTATTCTTCTTCAGGTGCCATCTCTGCTACGGAGGTTGAAGATTTGGCTTGAAGGACTAATCATTTTTTTGTATTTTAATCTAATAATAAATTATTTATATTACCTATTTGCCTTTTTTTGCCTACCACTATATATGATAAGAATGCTGCAAATTCCAGGAAAACATAATAAGTAAGTTCCTACATATTTAGTATTTTTGCTTTTGAACTTTTTCTACTGTTTTTTTTTTGGATTTTTATGCGAAATAAACTGTTATCTCCATTTAACACATACAATATTATCAATATAATAAATTCTATTTTTTGTCATCAGACTATTGATATAAAAAAATTGATATAATTATTAATATAAGAACCACTTAACATCCCTATACCCAAGAAAATCCCAAAATATATTGCAAAACCTAAGTTTTTGAACCTTTTATTAGCATTGAAGCTTATGGTAATTTTAAAAGTGTCGTATGGGTGACGTATTCCCGCCTTTAAAAAGCGAGCATTTGATTGGTCTATAGTTACGAGACAACGTACTTAATATCTACTAACCTTTAATTTACACCACTTCCAGTTTTTTCTTGTCTTTCATCGCCATTTGTCAATATTCAGGTCTGTACGTAAAAATTGGTTCTACAACCGACTTGTAGATTGTCATTTTTGTTCGTAAACTAACTTTAGGAGACAAAAGTAATGAGAAATAAGTACAATCTTTTCAAATTTAATATCTGTTATATTTACAATCTAATATCTTGAATGCCTTTGCATACATAGAGGAAGTAACTTTCTTTCAGAAATTTACATCACAATCTAAGTTCTAAATACAAGAGATTCATAAATGATATGTCGTTTCTTTAAACTTCAAACCATATTAAGTAAATAATTTTAAATTAAACTCCCTGTATTTTATAATTTAAATAAAAAGTATAATAGAAAGCTTTCAGGCAGTTTCGAAACAAGATTTAAAGCAAGGAGACCCTCTGTCTATAATGGGTGCTAAGAGTTTAAACAGAACAGGGACTTTAAGAACAAAGCGGCCTCAGATATTGGCTTATGCCGATGATATTGCAATTCTGGCTAAATCTGCTGATGTATTAAGAGACGTATGCAGCGTTTTACTAACCTCAGCAGAAAAACTCAACCCAGTCACTAATGAAAAGAAATCAAAGTAATCAAAATGAACGAAAATACAGATAACGCCCTAGAATTAGAAAAGTGGAGAACTTCACTTATTTGGGCACTAATAAACACGAGAGTGGAAAAGATGACTGTGACCTGGATGCAAGAAGACAAAAAGGAGATGTTGGCAGGAATGTTAGACAAAATTATTACATCTAAAAATGTATCGAGACTTGCCAAAATACATAATATACAAAACAGTTTTAAGGCCGATAGTTCTCTATATAAGCGAAACATGGGTGCTAAGCCAAGCACAAGAAGAAAAAATAAATATATGGGAAGTATTGAGACCAATTTTTGAAGTTATTAAAGAGGGACATATATATAGAAGAAGAACCAATGCCGAGATCATGAATCTTTTTAAAGAGCCTGCAATATCAGATGTAAAAGCTTCAAGATTGAGTTGGTTGGGACATTTAGAAAGAGCAAAAAAAATGCCTAAATTGTTAATAAATATAAATATGGGTGACAAAAGAAGAGTAGGTTGTTACTGTGTACCATTTTCGGAATATATTGATTTGAAAATTATGAAGTAATAACCGATGCTAGTATAAATTGATGAAAAAAGAAAATTAAACTAAAGACTAAGAATAATAAATAAAATTAAATTAGAGTAAGAGTTTAAAATGTCCTCTGTTTTCAAGAATACACAAGTCTATCCTTTTTTCCAAAGAAACCTTTAAGGCTTTTACTTTTAGAAACCTTTAAGACTTTTAGTTTAAAGTATTGAAATCGCATGACTGAGGAGGCCATTGAATCAGAGCTTCTATACCTTTAATATGAGTCGAGCCATGGGGTTGGGGTGTCTCCATTGTAAAAATGACGTGCACCCTATCCTCCATGCTATGCAATCCTGGACGAGCCATACAGTCTGTAGTCAACACCTCGAGGTATGAACGGGAACACAAGGTGCATTAATACTCATACGCTTATGAAATGCACCTGGCGCATCATAAGGGCCTTCACAAATTACTCTTTTTCAACTTATCTTGAGTGATATGTCTTTAATCTTTCCTATCAACCTCTCTTGGCTAACTCTTGTATCTTCCGACCCCGAATGGCTATTAGGTTCCCGAGGGCAGACGGGTCACTATATTTCTTTCTACCTCATACTCTTCAGTGTGGCGAGTCATTCAGTGTGACAAGTCATTCACCGAGCGATTGCCGGTATAAGCAATCCCCCACTTACTGACCAACGGCTTCGGAAGGATGAGTTGGTAAGTGGTAGGGCACCCTTTTGTCCTGAGGTTGTGAAATCGGCCTCGAAGGCGGATGAACCAAATATTTGATCAACGGCATAAGGATGGAGAAGCACAAGTAGGGCAAACACTCCAATAATGATCCAATGCAAGACACCCTAGTCAATCAATCATGGCAATGCTTAATACTAAAATAAATTCCGGAGTAAGTGCTTCGATCGGGTCTCCGGGGAGGACAGTTTTGAGTTTACCAAAAGATAATAAATTGAAGTGTATAAAGAATATCAAGATCTGCACACTGAATGTCAAAACTTTATACAAAGCAGGCAAAATCCACAATGCAACACAGGAGATGAAGAGGATGCATATTGAAATCATGGGAATAGCAGAAATGAGATGGACTGATTCTGGAGAAATACAAATAGAAGATTACAAAGTATATTACTCGGGAAAAAATGATGGATCACATGAATATGGAGTCCGAATAATTGTATCACCCAAGGTTGCCAAATGCGTTACTAACTTTACACCAATATCAGAGAGAGTGATGGTACTACAAGTAGAAGCCAACCCTATTAATATAAACATCATCCAAGTTTATGCTCCCACTGCAGACAAAGAAGAGGAAGAAGCAATTTAGTTCTATCAGAACATCAACAGTATCATACAGAAAATTCCTCAACAGTAAGTTCTTATCATTATGGGCGATTTTAATGCCAAGATTGGAGCTGGAGATAAAACACAGTACATTGGAGGACCTCCTAGAAAAATTCGCAGAAGACTCAGAACTAGTTGTCACTAACAAATTCTTCCAATTACCATCTCGCAATCTGTACACGTGAAAATCCCCTCAAGACAGACCCGGGAGAATTATTAGGAATCAAATAGACTACATTTTAGTAAATAAAAGATTCCGAAACAGCTTTACATATGTCAAGACTTATCCTGGAGCAGATTTAGAGACAGATCACGTTCCACTGGTGGGAGTATTTCGAGTCAAAATCAAAACAGTGCAGAAAAGAAAAGCACAATCATACGACCTAGGCGTACTGAAAAACCTTGATACGAAGATGATAGTCCAAGCCAGGGTGAACGAGCAAGTGACTGCAATTAGATACGAATCGAACGAAGAACAAACGATCAAACAAATTACAGAAATAGCGCAAAATGTAAAGGATAAACACTTAAAGACAGATAGATTAATGAAGAAAAAATCATGGATGACAGATCTTCTTCTTCTTCCTCTTAGCCTTCTGTCGTCCATGTTTGGACATAGGCCTCTCCCAACTCCTTCCATCGGTCTCTATCCTGAGCAACATATTTCCAATTTGTTCCGGCTATTATTTTAATGTCATCAGTCCATCTCATCTGTGGTCTTCCTCTTGGTCGTTTACTTTCGTTAGGTCTCCAATGTTGTATTGTAGTATTCCAACGTTGGTCTTTCTGTCTAGCAGTGTGACCCGCGAAGCTCCATTTAAGTTTGGCAATTTTTGTTGTTATGTCCTCGACTTTTGTTTTGGATCTTACCCAGTCTTACCTACTGGGTAAGAATGACAGATGAGATCCTGAAAATAATGGACGAGAGAAGAGAAGCCAAAAATGACGCAGACAATTATGAAATCATTAATATATTAATAAAAACGAAAATCAGAGAAGCGGAAGAAAAAAAAAAGCAAGGGAAAGATGCGAAGAAATTGAGACTCTGCAGTCAAAGTACGATAGTCACAATGTACATAGGAAAGTTCAAGAATTTACAGGAGGACGAAAGCAGAAAGGAAATATAACTGAATCATCTCATCAATCATCAAGTCAAATGTCTCCCAACCAGTTCGGGTTCACAAATGCTGTTGGTACTAGAGAGGCTTTGTTCTGAGTACAACTCTTATTCCAGAGATGCACAGACGTCAACTGCGACGTATACGCATGTGTGGTTGATTACGAGAAAGCGTTTGATCGAGTACAGCATGCCAGGATGATGCAAATACTAAAAGAAGCAGGAATTAACAACCAAGATCTGAAAATAATTAGAAATCTTTACTGGAATTAGACAGCAAATCTCAGAGTTGAAGGTGAACACACTGACTATGTGAAAATCATGCGTGGAGTGAGGCAATGTTGTATTTTGTCTCCTCTAATCTTCAATCTGTATTCTAAAAGAATATTTATCGAAGCTTTGCACGAAACTCAAAAAAGTATTCTACTAAATGGTTACCGGCTTAACAACATCAGATATGCATAGTATTTGCGGACAACTTAGTAGACCTACAAGTTCTTATGAACAAAATCACGTATTACAGTCAACAATATGGACTTAATATAAACGTTAAAAAAAAAGCTTATGATAATTAGTAAGAAAAGGATAATAGAAGGTCAACTCTACGTCAACGAATCTCCTGTAGAAAGAATGATGCACTACAACTACCTCGGCACCATAATAAATGAAGAATGGACCAACAACCAGGAGATTAGAGCACGCATCGGAAAAGCTAGATCCACCTTCAATCGGATGGGGGCCTGCTTCAAGAGTCACAAGCTCATTCTTGATACAAAAGTGAGAATGCTGCGATGCTACGTCTTCTCTGTCCTTTTTTATGGTGTTGAATCGTGGACTTTAACGAAGATATGTGTAAAAAACTGCAAGCATATGAGATGTGGCTATATCGGAGAATACTTAAAATCCTGTGGACTGACCGAGTCACAAATGAGGAGGTCCTCAGAAGAATGAATAAGAATCGAGAGGTACTGACTACCATCAAGTCTCTAAAGTTACAGTTCTTCGGAGATATTATGCGAAATTAATTCAGATATGCTCTCCTTCAAGCCATCCTGTAAGGAAAAATATTTGGAAAGCGAGGTCCTGGAAGAAGAAGAACATCTTGGTTAAAGAACCTCAGAATCTGGTTTAATACAACATCTGTGCAGCTTTTCCGCGCTGCTGCAGATAAGATAAAGATTGCCATGATGATCGCCAGCATTCGTAACGGATAGGCACATCAAGAAGAAGAAGAATACCTTTAATACCTCTACTAATCTATCGATTCGGAAAATGGTAATTTAACCAATTACGACATCTTCTATAAAAGAGCGATGGAGCATAAAAGATCTTAGCTCGTTTAGCACTAAATCTTCTAAAATCTCGAATAAGGGATTGTTTATAAAATCAAAGTACATATCACCATTTAAATATCTATCTAGAATATGATAATCTATGAAGTAGCTGTCCAAACAATAACTTTAAATGAATTTTGGTAATGCGATTCCCTTTTGACTCGTTGATTCTCATTACACCAACAGGAGTTATGCAAACATACATTGTCGCTTAAAGGTGGTCTCGTCCGTAAAAAGAATGCAGTGTAAGACATTTGGATACTTTCGTGCAATATTTTACAAAAATCCACTCCAATTGGTAGATCGTCTGACAAGAGCTCTTGGTCTTGTCTGTAATGATAAGGATGATCAGGAAAATTTTTTGGACTTTTTTGTTGCAAAATCGTATGATGTTTATGTTCACTTCGAATTTTGTACCCTTAAAAACGTAATGTTGAATAATACTTGGTACGAACCTTGTAACTAGCGCCCTCTATGAGAGTCAGTCAGATATAAAAAAGAATTTATGGGAAGAATCAGCTTCCAAAACATATTTGGATACATTTTTATTATCTAACTTAGCAAACCTCGATGAGTTTTCAGTTTTTTACCTATCCTAGACCCAGTGTTTGGACATAAACTGTCCAAAATTGTATAAAAAATCTAAAAGTAACTATAAAGCTGAATCTAACAATTAAACTAATAAAGCTAATTTGTATTTACCTCTGTAGCAAATGCCAACCGCTTTTTCTCTCCACCAGATAATGATTTGGCCTGGTCTATACCTCCAATTTTAAGATCAATACACTTCATTAGTCCAAGTTGTCTGAGAATATCGTATATTAACTGTTTTTTATCATTTCCCGATAGTCTTCTATCAAGTTTTAAATTAGCCTAAAAATGTGTTTAAAATAAATAAGCCAGGTCTGATAAAATATTTAAAAAAACTTGGTGTTTTGAAAAGACCAACAATACCTATTTTCACAAGGTTCATTAATTCCAAAGTTTACTACTGGACCTTTAATTTTAATGGGTAATGAAATATTTTGATTAAAGAGTCATTAAGAAGAATTAAGTATATTGTGAAAATTAAATATAAATTCTATGCTTTTAAGTGCTTTGCTCGTCATGAATGACATTTCTAGGCCAGAATAGATCAACTAACTTCTAAGAAAACTTTTTAAAATTACTTTAATATATTTTATATTTACTATTATAATTATTATGTTCATCATATCACAGATTTCGTTACATTATCATAAAATGCTATTTAAAAAAATAGTAAACCAATTTACACTTAGTTTATGGAGTGAAAACAACAGTTGGGAATTATGTTGTATAATTTCATTGTACCGGGCTTTCGACATCCTTTTTGATGTCTTCTTTGGGGCTTCCGAGGTTTCAGTCTCCCAAGCCCTCAAACACTACTACACTGATCACCAATCAATGCATTAGTTAAATCACAAATTAATCCCTTAATTTGTAATCTCACATTATTCTTAACTTCTTAATCTTTGATAGTTTTATCGTGTATAAGTGAAACAATGTAAAACCATATGGTATAATATTTTAATAACTAGTTCATTTACCTACAACTAAATAAATTGCAGAGTAATATATTTTCTAATTGAACTTCCTAAGTGTGGCAATTAAGGCCTAAATTAAATTGTAATGTAAGCAAAGTTTGTTGGTATGGTATGATCGAAACAATAACCTCTGTGCTGAGGTATGAATTATTTGTGAGATTATAAATTGGGGATTTGAGCTCATGTGAGCACAGTTTATTGTAAGTAGTTACATAACCAACATCATATTGTGTAATTACCAGTAACTGTCAATACATCAACATTTTTCTGCATAACTTCAACCTTTTATTATATTTATCATCGTCGATCGACAATAAGTGGACAAAGGGGCATTTACAAACGATTCGAACCTCATAACTACGTTCGAATATTTCCACAATGCTGGTGCTGATTGGCGCGAACATTGGCGCGGGTGTTGGCGCGAACATTTCTGAGGAAAAGCAAAGTAGGACTTAGGTTGATGGGTGGAGCGGACGGTATTTTCTTTATGAGAGGTCTCCAAGTCAAAGGTTGCCGTCATCTCTTTTATTGCATCATCTCTTTTCATCATTGCGTTATCTCGTTTAAGTAGATAGGGGCTATGGTTCTGGAGTTTTTAAAATCAATTTTGTGACCTCTTTGAAAATTGTGTTGACCTAGAGCTAAAATTGAGTCGGAATTTCGAACAGAAATGAAATGTTCATACATCCTATTTTGGATTATACGAATCGTTTGACCTATCGGGGGCAATCTGCACAAGGAATTTCATAAACTCCGTGTTGGTATTTTGGAATGTTGTCTTTGATTGATCGACAAAGTGATGAAAGTTTTTGTTAGGGGTAAACATTGTTTTTATTCCTTTTGATTTTAGAATTTTGTCGATTTTGTCAGTGACGTAAGGAAGAAAAGTTTTCGTATGATGAGGGTGTGAATCTTTGGGTTGAGATTGAGTGGGAGATTGATGTCTGTGGATGCTCCTATTGATGTGATTTTTGCGATAACTGTTTTGGATGAGGGCCTAGTTTAAACTAGAGAGCTCAGCGGGTTCACTTGCGTCATCACAAATGCGTATCGATCTGGAGACAGGCGTATTAATGACTGAATTAATTTGTTAAGGGGGATGATGAGAGTTGGCATGCAAGTAACGATTGGTATGGGTGGATTTACAGAAAAAATGCCAAGTTGTCTCAATAAAAGAGATCAAACAATGTTAAACAGGTTAATAAACATATGTTAAAAAATAGTAAAATATAACTATTTTTATCAAACCTATATTAATTACATACCTATTAAAGAAACAGATATTTATAATGCATTATTCGGTATTAAAATGTACGTATTTGCTTATTTGTAAAATTTAGTTAACTACAGTAAATTCAACTTCAAGCTACGGACGATGGAAACAAATGCACGCTGGAAACACGTGTTTGTTCAGGGCCGGACTAGTAAATTAAAGCTGCAATACAAAACCTTATATAATTTGTAGACGTCTGATAGGTACAGATTATAGTACACCAATTTTTTAAATATAAAAATGATTTACAAAGTCGAGAGTTATTAACAACAAAATAAAGTATACAAAAAAAAGTTTATAAAATTACCGTATTTTATCTTAACTTTCAGAATCTGATGTACTGCTGTCATCATTAAAGTTGATAATGATAGGCCCAATTTGTGCCTCAATTAAATTGTTCAACTTCCACATTTTTGGCTCCACTTCTTCTTTTACATGTTTGACGCAGTTTTTCCATTTTTCCATGGTTACAGCAGACACAGCTTCATGAAATAAATTTTTAATGTCATGATCATAATTTAAAGCAAATTTAAATGTTGTGTTATGCCATGCTACATAATTCTTGACTTCCGCCCATACAAGCTCGATTGGATTGAACTCGCAGTGATACCAGTTCATCTACTATGTACTTATTATATTCGCCTTTATGTTGTTTAACGATTTCTAAAAGTTACACCTTTAACATCGTTTCTTCAAAGGGAATGTCTTTTGAGTGAAGCCAATTTTGAATATCTGCCTTTTTTGTAGCCCTAATGGGAATTTTTTACAATTTTCTGGAATGGTAAGGGGCATTGTCCAATTATAGCATTTTTCCAGTGTTTGGAACGCTAAAGTAGGATTATCTTTTAATTTACATTTGTATGTATTAACCATTATTTTTTTGATTCTTATATCTACGTGATTTTTCTTAGCTCTTTTCCTAGGAGGACTTAGCGTTAACAGTTCCTCATTTTCATTTGCCGACTCCGTATCAGACATATTAAATAAATGGATTTATTATACTTTTCTCAACTAAAATAACAAAATAGGCATTTTTAAATTTACTTTTTTAGTAGAGGATAGTATAGTAGGTTTACCTACACTGCTTTGGTAAATGTGATATTTTTTACTAATGATTTTGATCCTTGAAAATCGTCATCTATCGTTCTTCGTCTGTCAATTCTTTTTCGTCTGTTATTTCTTGTTCGCCTGTCAATTCTTCCTTGTCTTCCAGTTTTAAATTATTTATAACTCGAACAAGATTAACTTAAGAAAAATTACAAAATAAATTTTTGTTTAGAATGATCAAAAAAATCTAAAACAATATCTGCCCGGGTTGATTTTTTTTAAATATATAAAGAAAGGTATTTTTTAACTCTTTTCGGTACATCGGATTGAAATTTGAACCACCAAATTTTTGCTACATGTTGTACAGTAGTCCACAAAATGAATCACTTATTAATCTATTTTTATCAAGTTACACCTACGCAAGTGGTTTGTATTACTTATTCCCTCTGTCCCTATTAAGTGTTATCTTGAATTGGTAAAATTCCCACGGTATAGTTATTGGCCAAACGCGAATGGTTATCAGTTGTTTCTTGAAAAGTGAGGTCATTTTACTTTTTACGTGTGCAATTGAATCTTTCTCTGCCCCAAGGGTCCATTGTAGAAAATTTATAAAATCTCGTGCCGCAAAGAGTTTAAATTAATTATAGTCAGGACAAAATTATATCGGGCACCACTTGTTTTTCATAATTTTTAACATACTAAATAATTTTTATCCATTAAACATATCAGTGCAGGTCGATATTATATCTTATCTTATGGCTATTATAAATGCTTTATTATACTTAGAGGAATTATTTTAAAGTGGGGAAAATGTTTGTATCGACTATAATTAAATGTTCTTAAAAATACTTTGCACTATCCACACACGAGCTAACGATTAACAAATAAACAAACCAACAAACAGCTTTGCACAAAAATTACTGGGCCAGTTCGCATTCGACAGAGGACGGAGCGGAAAAACGAAGTCCGCACCTGTTAGGGCTAACTGCCTGACTTACGATCGTTCGACAATTTGGCCAATAGCAAGGCGTTCGTCACGTATAGACTCGAATATCACGCGGTGACTTGTGTTGATTCTGTCCGTAACTTGAAGTTGAATTTACTGTACATCTACTCAGGGCTGAATACGGCTCTGATTAGAATGACTCATATATCAGCAGTCTACTACCAACACGTGCCTGAGAGTTTTGGCAACACTGATCTGCATAATCCAAACGTTAAGTTCCTAACGTAAAACGAAGTATAGTAATATACCTAATAGCAAAAAATATGATTATTTTAATTTCTTACCATTATATTCATGTGTTCTCTTACTGTAAGATAAGATAGCAGCATATCCTCTTGGTGCATAAATCCGCTTAAATATTTCATATAGTCCCCAATTTGACGACCGTTTATGAGAATGTTGCCTTCAGTTAATATTTTACCTGATAACAAATAAATGATTAAGCTGTTTTTAAACAATCTAATAAGTATTAGACAATATGAAATACTTCAATATTTGTCTTCCAAATCGGGAAATTTAAAGGAACAGAGAAAAGGAAATTTTATGTCTTAAAAGGAATATCTTTTATTTGCTGATTGCATAGGTAGGTTGTATATTTTATATAAGTACTCCAATAGGTATAACTGAAGATACTAAATTATTAAGGACATATCATCAACATATAGTACGTCAAAAATCAAAAGTAAATGTGATAAGGGGGTAATCTACTAAACTATGCAAAAAATAAGGTTGAGTGTGTTCAACCATGGATTATGGATGTTTCATTTTCACATCCAAAAATAATTCTTTTCGATTGCCTCCGGTATAAATGTCTTGAGTGATTTTTATAGCGAATGAATGCTATATTAGCTCAATGTAATTGCCCAACGATGCTGATGACTCAGCAACACATAGTCCGCGATCCTCAGAGTTATTATTTAATGTGTACCTATAGCCAACTGTATCTGTAAAAGTACACTCAGCTGCATTGCTTCCCATTCCTGCTATTCCTGCTAAACTCGAACTCTGAAGCTGCCCTGAGTTTCTATGCTCGGGAAATTGACGATCTTCCCACTGCGTCATCGAAACGTTGAGATATACTCCAGTCTTCAGAGACGAAAACCCCACTGAATTTTTAAAAATCATACGAACAAGCTGAATTTTGCCAAGAATACTAATCAAGATTCAGGTATGATATTTTGTATGGCAGTAGCTAACAAGCACTTCACCTCCTCCATTTTAAAACTCAAGTTTTCTCTTGCCACTTGGTTTTTTAATTGAGCCTATATAAGCTCGATAGGGTTCAGCTCACGATGATAAGGAGGGAGGCGATGTACAATTATGTTGTTTGCACGAGCCATTTCATTGACTGATTATTTCACCTTTTCGCCAGGCAGTCGTTGGTGATGGTTCCAACCGTCGACTGTGGTATGATGCATTGTCCATAACAACGACAGAATTTGCAAGGTAAAAAGCCGTTCTTCAAAAAACCCGAAACGCTGCCTATATGTGTTATTATGAGCCTCCGTCCTTTCCCACTAGTGTTTTTAAACCTAATGAAAGCTCTTCAATGAAGGCTTGTCGACGACTTTTAATTTCCAAATCTTGCCACACCTTTGAGGCAGTAAGACCTTGATTTAGCCAAGTTTCATCTAAATAGTATACTTTTCGTCCTTCACGACGATACTCTCGGATTTTTTGTAATTTAAGTAATTTCTCCGCCACAAAACAATTTCTTCTTCTATTCCTGCTTCTTTTCATATATTTAATGTTCATTTTTTCTGATGTTCACAATAAAACACGTCGTGATATTTTGGGTATTGAATTATCGGAATTTATTTCAACTTTCTGTAAGGTTGGGATTTCGTTCCGAAAAAAGAAAGCATGGAATTTCCTGCGAATAGCATATTTGGTATGATCTTTAAGCTGGATGCGGTTTCTACCTCTGGTTTCAATGGTTTCAACAGGTCCATCATCCAATTTGCCTTCACTTTGTTTAAAATTGTTTACAATTCTGTATACACTTTTAGGTTTTAGGGAGGTATAACTAATACCTTTTAACCTAAAATTATTATTTATTGTAATTAGAGGTAATGGATTTTGACAAGAGCTATGAGTCATGCCGATGCAGTACACAAGTTTACCTAATATTTACAAGGTCATAGCTCTTGTTAAAATTCAATACCTATAACTCAAATTTATAAAACAATAATAGGAAGTATTGAGTTGTACGGCGATGTAGTATATCTTTTCTAAGTAAAAATATTAAGAGAATAAAAGTTTTGATTCTATAAGTACGTCGAGTGGGAGATAAAAAAAAATGGAACGTATTAAACGAGCACTGAGAGACGTATGTGGCGTCCTTCATCATTTTTAGTGGCTAATTTAGATTTCTCATCCCAAAAAACTCCAGCTTACCAAATTTCGTGTTGTTATACCATGCCTGTCACGAAATATTCAAAAATAAAAGTTTACCTTTGACACCCTTTATCTTGGTTATTATCAACATTCGTACTAAAGTAAGTTAGTTTAAATCGGTCTATTTTAATCTCAGGAATCTAAAATTAAGTTATGGCCATTCGTTGCCAAACACCATTAATATTATTATTATAGTATATTATATTATAAATACATATTATAATATAATATATTATAAATATAGTATCTTATAAACAAAAGAAGAGAATTGAAAGACAAATACACAGATAATTTTGTAACATTAAGACAGTTAAACAAAGATATCACAAAATCCATTCGAAAAGATGTCAGAAATTACAACACTAAATGCATTACTCAAGCCATTGATAAAAATAAAAGTTTAAAGGTTCTGCGCCGACAAATGACTGAAGGATCAAAAAATATTTGTAAACTTGTAAATAAAAAAGGAGAAACTACAACAAATAAGGAAGATATTTTAAAAATTGCTCAATATTTTTACTCAGAATTGTATAAGCGAGAAGAACTTCCAGATCCTGATCAAAATCAAATACCAAAAGTTCAAAATGTAGACTCAGAAGATATCCCAGATATCACAACAGAGGAAATAAAATCAGCTCTCTCGGAGATGAAAAACAATAAATCACCTGGAGAAGATGGGATAGTCATTGAACAAATCAAAGAAGGAGAAGGAACGTTACTAAATGTGTTGAAAAAGATGTTCAAGCCCCTCCCAGTGGCATAATGCAATAATAACCATAATGCACAAAAGGTAACATTTCAGATCTAAAGAACTACAGACCTATTAGTTTGCTCTCCCATACATACAAACTATTCATGAAGATAATAACAAAACGGCTTGTGAACAAACTGGATAGTTACCAACCTTGTGAACAGCTGGTGGTAAAAACGCTAATAGAAAAGTGTACAGAATATAAAAAGCCTATCTTTCTTATATTCGTAGATTATGAAAAGGCGTTCGATACTATAGATCATCATAAAACGCTTCGAGCATTGGCTGACTGCCGCATTGACTACCGATATATTGCCTTGATTAAAAGTATTTACGAAACTGGTACAGCTTGTGTCCGCCTTCATGAAGATACCAAGAAGTTTCTAATAGAACGTGGAATTAGACAGGGTGATACTATCTCCCCTAAATTGTTTACAGCTGTTCTTGAATATACGTTCAAGCAAATGGAACGAAAGGATAATATGGGAATTTATATAAATGGTGAAGATCTGAACCACCTAAGATTTGCCGATGATATCGTTTTAATATCTGATAGAGTTGATAAAGCTACAAAAATGCTGCACACGCTTTATAAAGTGTCAAAAACAATTGGTCTTAAAATTAACACCTCAAAAACAAAATTTATGACCAACCAGTCAGCGCTAAAATTCTGATTGAGAGCCATAGCATCGACTAAGTAATAGCTTACAAATATCTAGGGGATGAGATTCACCTAGGTCGAGATAATCAGACAACTGAAATACAAAGGATAGGTCTCACATGGGCTGCCTTTGGTAGATTGAATAACATTTTCAAGTCTACTATCCCAGTTTGTTTAAAAAGAAAGGTTTTTAACCAGTGCGTTTTACCAGTTCTTACATATGGTGCAGAAACACTGACTCTGGAAAAAAATAACAATAGATAAAATAAGAGTTACACAACGCGCTATGGAAAGATCAATATTAGGTATTACCATCAGAGATAAAGTACCAAACCTAGAAATAAGAAGAAGAACAGGAGTCACAGATGCAGTTGAAAAAATAGCCAGGGCTAAATGGGCTTGGGCCGGACATGTTGCCAGATTAACGGATGACAGATGGACCAAAAAGATTCTGGAATGGCGACCAAGGCAAGATGCATATCGAAGCAGAGGACGACCACCGACTAGATGGACGGATGATATCAAGCGCATCACCACAAACTGGATGCAAGAAGCTCAAGACAGAAATAGGTGGAAAATTTTACGGGAGGCCTACGTTCAGCAGTGGACAAATTAAACTAATTATAAATAGATACATATTTATTTAATACAAGTAGCTCTGTCGTAACTTCTTATGACATTTTTCGTACGTTATTAAAAGACCTACAATAGCGATGAACCGTCACTATTACTTCCAAGAATTTACTGCCTAGATTTCTGGATTCTGACTATAGAGCCTAACCTTTAAAATCTATAGCATGAAATTTTAGTTTTGAGTTTTGGCAATAAATGTGAGGTATTTGAAATATCCTTAAAAAACGCTGGATTTAAACTTTCACACAACAAACGATCTAAAACATTTATTTTTTTTTTTCAATTACACTAGTACGTTTTGCAAAAGAACAAAACTTTTACAATTAACTACACCTAAAAAGGTCTTCTTAAATGCATTTCCCGTGACGTGTGATAGTTTGTAATGTAAAACATTAAATTCTGAGTTTTTTTAATCACATTTCAAATGACTCATATTTGTTAACAAAACTCAAAATTGAAATTTCATGTCATAGGTTTTAAATATTGATCTCTTAAAATGAAAATTTTACTACAAACGGTCAATGAAAGTAATCAATTTTATTGATCTCACGAGAATCGTAAAAAATGGCAAAAATCGCGACACCTTAATTTTTTAACTCTAAAAACTTAGTTTACTCTCGACGAAATACAAAACTGCATACGAAAGCTGCACTCTTTGTCTTTAAAACGCATCTTGATTTTTGTCGATAATACATTTGGATCAAACGATATCGAATTTTTACCGTCCCACTGGTACAAATTTTATTGAACATTGATTTCACGTGTATACTGATATGCAAAATTTACAGTCGCTTCAAGCGTTGTGCTGATTCATGCTGCACAAAAAATCCTTATAAATCTCAGGTACATTTTATATTTAATACATTTGTTTTGCGGTGTACAAATTTTTGGTAAATCGATTTTTTTGCGTTTTTACCCCCTTAAGAGGGGTGTTTTAGGGAAAGCCCGGAGGTAAAAGTGGTTTTTTTATCTTTTTTGGGGTCCCAAAATTAATATTTTCTGCAAAATTCAGTTTGTTCGTATAATTTTTAGGGCTCAACTTTTACGACTGGACTAATAGCTGTTTTTATGTCCAGAGAGGTGGTGGGCTTCTATTAACAGATTAATAACAATTTATAAAATTATAAATCAGCTATTTGTACAATTAGACCCGCGTCACAAAAATGGTGTAGGTAAATTAGTAACATCAGAACTGAGTAAATATGTGACCAATTTTGTACCAGTCTCGGATAGAATAATATTACTCCAAACAAATACTCAACCATTTAAAACTAACATACTTCAAATCTATGCTAGAGATTGTATGAATTCTGTAAAGAAAACGATATGATCATTGCACCTGGTATAAACTACCCAAACGACGACTATACACTTGAAAAGCCCCATTTGATGTAAGTAGTAACAGGAAGTAACAATAAGGAAGTAACAGAATATAGACACCTGCAGAGAAGCATAAAAAGGAGATCAAATTAGTTAAAGAAAAATAAATGAGAGAAAGGTGCTACGAAATGGAGGATGTAATATCTAAACATGACTTATTTAATGTGCACAAAAAACTGAAAGAAATGAGTAGTATATTTTAAAAAACGAGTTCCCTCTGTACTTGTTGACACTAATAACAAAATAATTGTAAATGAGCAAGAAATAAGAAAAGAATGGCAGCTGTAGATATCAGAGTTGTTTGAAGATGACAGAAATAATATTGTCAAATTCTACCGAAACTGTACTGACGGCCTAGAAATTATTAAATGCGAAGTATTATTGTAGAACATGCTATAAATAATGCTAAAATTAGAAAAGCTTGTGGTCCAGATGATACACCAACTGAGTTGCTGAAACTAATAGAGAATGATAACATAAAAGTAGTGGTAAGACTTTTTAATTCAATATATAACACCGGAGTGATTCCCGCAGATTGGCTCAAATCCATCTTTATCGTAATACCTAAAAAACACAATGCGAGAAAATGCTCAGAATATCGATTATTTAGCCTAATGAGCCACACTCTTAAAATTTTTCTTAGAATACTTCACAACAGAATTAGACGCAAATGCGAAGAAGATCTTGAAGATACCCAATTTGGTTTTAGAAATGCTATGGGAACCAGGGAGGCACTTTTTGCGCTTAACATCCTATTACAAAAATGCCAAATGCCAAGTGACCAAAAAAAAGATGTATTTGTATGTTTCGTGGACTTCCAAACGGCATTCGGTAAAGTACAGCATGTAAAATTAATGCAAATACTGAAAAATATCGAAATAGATGGCAAGGATATTCGTGTCATTAAAAATGTGTACTGGAACCAAACTGCTATCGTAAAAATTGGAGATAACTACACCGATGAAATCCCTATACAACGAGGAGTCAGACAAGGTTGCATTTTGTCGCCAACATTGTTGAATGTTTACTCAGACCAGCTCTTTAAAAAGGCACTTGAGAGACAACCATATGGAATAAAAATCAACGGGGAACTACTTAATGTGATTAGATATGCAGACAATACAGTAATTCTATCAAATAATATTGAAGGTCTTCAAATTCTGCTTGATTGTATTCACGAGGTAGGAGAGGAAATGGGCATTAAAATAAACTCAAGCAACACCAAATTTTTAGTGTTTAGTCGTGACCCATATCTCGATGCAAAGCTTCAATTGAACAGAGTCCAAGTTGAGAAAGTTCACAAAATGACATATTTGGGAACTGTGATAACGGACCAACTAGATCCAGACATAGAAATAAAACGTAGAATAGCAATGACTAAAACTACTTTTATGAAAATGAAGTCATTTCTTTGCAATAACCATCTCAGTTTAGAACTACGGCAAAGAATGGTTAAGTGCTATGTTTGGTCTGTACTTTTGTATAGTGCAGAAGTGTGGACGCTAAGAGTATCGATTATCAACAACATTGAAGCATTGGAAACGTAGGTTCATAGACGAATGCTAAAGATACCTTGGACAGCAAGAAAAACTAATGAAGAAGTACTAAGGAGGGTTAACAAAGACAGAGAACTGCTAAAGACTGTTAAACATCGAAAAATGTCTTATCTGGGACATATAGTAAGGGGAAGTCGATATAAAATTTTACAACTGATCCTTAAAGGCAAAATAGAGGGCCGTAGAGGTGTAGGAAGAAAACAAGTTTCTTGGTTAAAAAACATTCGTGAATGGACTCAGATACCAAATGCAGGACAATTATTCCATATTGCAGAAGATCGAGAAGCCTTCGCAATGGTGATCACCAACGTCGGATAGTTCTGATATGGCACGCGAAAAAGAATATTTGTACAATTTTTGATTTTCTGAGGATAAATGCAGGACAAGAAAACTTCAGGAATCTATATTCATAAAATGTCTGGATCTCAGATGAAACGGTGTTGATTTATCATTGTTGGTTCACGTAAAAATCGGAATCAAAAGCACGTCAGAAAAATATCAACTTTAACTAGAACACAAAAGGTACTTGAAACTCTAATATTATTACTGCCGTATTCTTTTTTATATATTCAAAAAAGTATAATTGATTACATAAACATGTAGATAATGAAAGTGCGTCGAAGCATTCTCAAAAATTCTTACCTTCAGTTCTATATCCTAAAGCAGTCATCAAAGTGCTTTTCCCAGCACCACTAAAATAAAAAATATAAAAATTATTTACTAAAACTTTAAGAAAGATCACTACGTTCATAAAATACTTAACCAATATCGTATTTTAACATTCATTTAAAATTAGGAGAATACATTGTCATTGATGATAGGTTCTCATTCAAAAATTGGCCGCAAATATTTTTAATTCAAATAATAGTAATTAATTTGTTAACAAAAATTGTATTTCATTCATTCAATTTTTTAAACGCTGCTCATGACGTATGTACATGTTTATTATACAAATTAAAGCTAATTTTTCTCTTAATATGATGATATAAGGTTGCCTGGGAAAAATGGTCGCAAATTAGGGGTACCAGCTATTAAAAACGCGAGGTATCAAAGAGACAGTAAAATGTATCATTGGTTTGAAAAGTAATAATATGTACAGGTGGTACAGTATACTAGTAAGTAACGCATTATAATAAGTAACATTATATGATAACAACACAAAATATTTAAGTCGTAGGTCTGTTACTTCTTAGAATCTTTTAGCTAAGTACACTGGAATTACAGCCACTAGACATATTTTATATAATATGTCTTGTAAAAATATGTATATATTTTATATATATATATATATATATATATATATATATATATATATATATATATATAGATATAGATATAATAGTGTACACTTAAATAAATCCAAGATAACTGATTTTATTTAATTTGCAAAGTGGATTATAAAGCGTTTTTATGAAGCACACTTGTCTGGATCATACTTTAACTGCGATCTAACGAAGGTGACATTTTATCATAAATTGGTAACACTTATTTGACAATTGTGGTGTTAACGCTTTAGATTTGTTTTTATTATTTACTATTTATTAAACTCTGTTCTTTTTAGAACAAAATTAGTGTGATTTAATTCGAAAATGTCACATAAGAAGTTAAATATTCGTTATAAAGAGATAGTAGTGATAGAACGTGATAATAACGGCCCCATTCTACCGTTGACTGCTGCTAGGGCAGTATATTTATTTTTTTATTTTAAACAATAAGAATACCATTAATATACAAGATTAGTCAGCATTTTTTCTTTAGCCTAATTTTCCTAAGATTTTTTGTAAGCTAAATGTCACCTGGTCCATCCTGGCTGTTTTTGACATCAAATGTCTACTTTTTTGTTGTGGCCACACAGCACAGCACTGACTCTGCTTTTCCTCGTGGTGGCTACAATATACAACACTAACTAAGCCTTGCACAACTTCACACGTTACACAAATTCCAACATAGTAGTATTGAATTTCGAAAAGCATTTGACTGTGTTAACCATCAAAGATGATCGAAATTCTGAGAACAACTGGAGTTGACGAACAAGACTTCCGAATTATCTCAGAACTGTACTGGCACCAAACAGCAACATTTGAAATAGAGCACACAACATCCGAAGATATACGTATCCGACGAGGAGTAAGACAGGGTTGCGTCTTATCACCGCTACTGTTTAATTTGTATTCGAAGTCTATATTTAGAGAAGCATTAGACCAGGTCCAAGGCGGAATTAACATTAACGGAATCAGCATAAACAACATCAGATATGCTGATGATATTGTATTAATAGAAAACTTTCGTATTTTCAAAAGATACCAATAAACGTACATGTGTATGTTAAAGGTCAAATGATAGAACAAATAAATTCCATAAAATATTTGGGAGCACATATCAATAGTCAGCGTAATCCAAAAAAATAAATACTATCAATAATTGAACAAGCAAGGAAAACATTCATGAGCATGAACACATTTTTACAAGATCAGACCTAAGTCTGCAGCTTAGAATCCGAATGATTAGATGTTACGTTTTTTCTGTCTTGCTGTATGGCTGTGAAAGTTGGACAATGGACTTTGAAATAGAAAAAAGAATAGATGCAGACGGATATTGAGAATTCCATGGGAACAAAGAATTACTAATGTTGAGGTACTTCGTCGAATGTGTAAACAAAAAGAATTACTAAGAATAATCAAAGAGAGAAAATGCAATACTAGGGTCATGTGTTGAGGGGCGAAAAATATGAATTATTTCAAGTTATACTGGAAGGAGAAGTACAGGGCAAAAGATCAGTAAGAAGACGCCAAACCTCATGGCTGAAAGACCTGAGGAGATGGTTCTACCGCTCATCCGCAAAAATCTTTCGCGCAGCAGTTTCCAAAACCGCAATTGCCATTTGGATCGCCAACCTTCGAAAGGAGACGGCGCCATGAGAAGAAGAACAGTTTAGTCCCCTTGAGCCTTCGCATCTGGGGTTGGTTGACAAGAAACTGAAGTACTTCATGGTACTTTTGCGATATCCAGGAATACTGCTGAAGTATGTAATGTATTTTTTATATGTTTACATTTTTATATGTATACATTCTTGTTTAAGGGTATACCTGCAGCTTTATATTTGCATGTGTCAACTGTGAGTTCTATCCCACAGGCTATAAAAACTAATACACCTCTAACATCATCGCCCAAAACTTACTAGCCCTAAGAAAGATACCAAACTGAAATAATAAATACTAAATTCCTAATATAATTAACAGTATATATGAACGAAGCAAATATACTTTTCGTTAGCTATCATAAAGTGTATTAAGTTAAACAGATCTGTTTAACATGAAATCAAATTTAAATCTTCTCAGAAGAACATGTGACTTTGACCTCTTTATGGACTCAGTTGAAGGAAAAAACTGTTTAATGGTTGTCGTATGTCACAGTATTGTACTGAAAGACATTAGTTTTAAATGACTAAAAGATGATCCAAGGCGAGGAAAGATGGTACAGTCTCACATTGCTGTGAAGGGAGTAAAATTTTTTTATCAAAAATATAAACATGAAGAACTGTAAAATTTGTTTTTATATATGAATCTTGGATTTTTTAGAATGGATCTATATATCGCTCATAGCAAGATGAGAATAATAGAAGCGTAAAATATATTAAAACTTATGGAAAACGGTAGTATATTTAATAATATTGAAAACATAAGGGTGTTGAAATATTTTTTTATATACATTATTCTTCATGCTGGTAATAAAAATGGCTCCATTGAGGGTGCAGAGGCTATATTTTCCTCTAAATCGGCTGTATTGGACTACCAAGGGGAAATTATTCAAGTAAATGTTTTATCGTGCTTTGAAAATCAACTTTTAACAAGTTTGTCTGAACCATCCCTAATTATAATGGATAACGCCCCATATCATTGCATATTGTTAGAGAAAGCACCAAACATGCATTCAACCAACACTAAAATAAAATATTGGTTACCTAACAATAAACTGCTTTTTAATAAGACAATGTTGAAAAACGAGCTTTTGTACATTTTTGCGCAATCAGTATGCCTAATGAGAGTTTAGTTCAGGCTGTCAATATTTATTTTCAAAAACAAACCACCTCAAAATACTTTTTTGTAGATTATGGATGAAAAAAGTGTAAGAAAGACTAAAATTTGGAAACAAAAGCGTGTATTAGTGAGTAACTTTTTAGCACCACACTTTGTTTACATTGTTCGCAAATTTAATAAAACCATTGTAATGTATCGATAAGAAAACCGAAACTTTACACACAAGCGGTTCAAATTATTTATAATGAAGGATTGTTACTTAATTCTTATCTTTTTCTAATTTTTTTGTTTATTTGATTTAAATACAATTTAGGAAGTTTTTTGTAATTTGGAAACAATGTTAACTTAAATCTCTGGCGTGGATAATTACGTGCAACGAAATGCATACTGTAGCAACCATATATTATTACACTTTTTATGAATGCGTGCTTTAAAAACTCACACAACTGACACTTTAAACCTGTGGCGTTGCACGATAACTCTCTTTAACTTTATCTTTGATACCTCGCGTTTTTAACAGTTTGCAACTCTAATTTGTGTCCATTTTTTCTTACACAACCTTATATCATCCTATTAAAAAAATAGATTTAATTTGATATAAAAAGTGCATTTGTGTCATGAGCAGCGTATTTGATTTAAAGATCAAATTAACGAAATTTTTGTTCAAAAATTAAATATTAATAATTGAATTAAAAATATTTGCGGCCATTTTTTGACTGGCAACCTATTATTAATGTATTCTGCTATTCTCCTATTCCTATTAAATGTATGTAAAAATGTGAGTTTGATTTTAAAAATATTACCGTTGATAACTTTTACCTGTTCCAACTCTGGTCTAACTCTCCGTAATTTTCGAAGAGAATTGAACGTACCAAGGAAAATGGGAAAATCAATATTTCTTCATCGAATTAAAAGGCAAACCTCAGTGCAATATTTGTTGTCAAGTACTCGCGGTATCAAAAGAATACAATATTAGTAGGCATTATAAAACCCAGTACAGAACAAAATAAGACAAATATTAAGGTGAAACTCGCAATGCTCTTGTAAAATAACTTAAAGCTAAATTCTTCTTCTTTGTCAACCATTTTCCATTCACTCCTGAATGTAGGTCTCTCCCAATTGCTTCCATCTTTCTCTATCTTGCGCCAATCTAATCCCCTGTTTGCCTGCCACTGCTCTTATGTCATCTACCCATCTTTTTTGAGGTCTTCCCATGCTTCTTGTTGTCGTCCTTGGTCTCCATTCTAGAATTCTCCGTGTCCACCTGTTGTCATTATATCGGGCTACGTGACCTGCCCAGCGCCATTTCATTTTTGTAATTTCTTCCACAATATCCCTAATCTTCGTTCTACGTCTTATCTCGGTGTTTCTAATCTTGTCTCTTAGTGATATTACAAGCATGATTCGTTTCATTACTCTTTGCGTTGTTTCTAATTATTTGGCAGATTTTTTGGTAAGTGCTACTGTCTTCAAGCCGTAGGTACAAACAGGTAGTATGCATGTGTTATACACCTTTTTCTTTAAGTTTATAGGAATGGAGGTGTTTTTCAAGATATGTGCTAGTTTGCCGAAAGCGCCCCAAGCCAGTTGTGTTCTTCTTTTAATTTCAGCATCTTAAGTTGGTTTTCCTAGTTTGATAACATGACCTAGATATACATAGTGTTCCACATTTTCTATGGTATGATTTTGTATTGTTATATTTGTCTGGTCTCGGCTCAGTATTTTTATTTTGCTGTAATTCATTTTTAAGCATACCGCTCCTGAAACTGCATTTAATTGTTGTAACATATTATTTAGTTCTTGGATATTATCGGCTATTAAAACTATGTCATCTGCGAATCTCAAGTGGTTTAAGTATGATCCGTCGTCGTTGATTCCCTTATTGTTCCATTCCAGTTTCTTAAAAATATCTTCTAGAGCAAGGGTAAATAGTTTGGGAGAGATGGTGTCTCCTTGTCTTACTCCCCGTTGTAGTCTTATGAGATTAGTTTTTGTGCTTTCGTCCAGCTTTATATGCATGGTGGTATTTTCATATATGTTTTTAATTATGTTAATGTATCTTGAATCTATGCGTGCATTTTCTAGAGATTCAAGCACTGCCCATAATTCGATGGAATCGAATGCTTTATGGAAATCGACGAACGCCATATGAATTGGAACATTATACTCGGTGTATTTTTCTATCAGTGTTCTTACGGTGTGCAAGTGGTCTATGGTATTAAAATGTTTTCTGAATCCAGCCTGCTCGATAGGTTGATAAAGCTAAATTAAATAAACAAAAATATCTATTTACAAAACTGACAGCTGTCCAATCATCAAGCTTAGCAGCATCATATGAAGTATGTTTAGAGCTCGTCAAGTAAAAAAGGATTTAGAAATGGAGAAATGATCAAGCGGTGTGCCGGTAAAATGGAGCGATCCTTTGGAGGTGAAAAATGGCCAAAAATTTTGAATGTGTTTCAGTTTCACATCAAAATGTATCTAGAAGAGTTGATGAGCTGAATATTCATGTATTTAAAAAAATGGTCAACGCAGTTCGTGATTGTTTGTACTACTCCTTAGCCCTGAATGAATCTGTTGATATTTTGTTAGATGCATAAGTGAAGATTTTTGTGTAACTGAGAAACTTCTAAAACTGCACCACATGGAAGACGGGACCAAAGGTATAAATATATTTGAAGCAGTTAGTGACGCTGTGAAAACGATAGGCGGTTTTCAAAAGTACTCTTGCGTTTGCACCGACGGAGCAAAAACAATGCTGGGACGCGTAACGGGATTGGTTGGACTTTTGCGGGAAAATGGTGTTAACTGTATTATGTTTCATTGCATTATCCATCAAGAGACTCTCTGCGGAAAGATAATTAAAATCAACATAACTATGAAAACTGAAAACATGCATTTTGCCCAAAACTGTAGTGCAGATAGTAAACACCTTAATAATAGGAAACAGAGCTCAGCGAGACCAAAAATGTATCTCTTTCTTGGAGGAATTAAATACTAAATATAAGGACGTCCCCCTACATTCAGAGATACGCTGGTTGAGTGCAGTTAAATGCCTTAGACATTTTCTTTTCTTTAAGAAAAGAGATTTTACTGTTTTTTAAAACGGAAATTGTTATTAACATGGGCGTATTTGTAACAAATCTTATGAAGAAAACATTTCTTCATGAACTGTCATTTCTAACAGACATTACCTCTGACTTGAATACATTAAACCTACAACTCCAGGTGAAAAATAAGAGAGTATAACAGTTGGTTGGTCAAATTGAGACATTTCGCAAAAAACTTGATCTTTTCGAGAACTGCATGAAAATAAACAATGTCACACATTTTCCTGCGTGTTTCGAAATAAATCAAGAAGAAATAAAAGGAGAATTCGATGAAAGTTTTTCGTAATTTGATGCACTAAAACCCGATCTTGAGCTTTTTAACAATCCAATGGGAGTTAACATCCAGAACAATCAGCAGAATACCAATTAGAGCTGTGCGAACAGTCCGATACGTTTTTTCAAGCAAAGAAAAATGAAGACATTAGTGCCTTTTGGAAGTTAGTCTCCAAGGATTGTTTTTTAGTCTCCAAGGATTGTTTACCTAAACTTCATAACTTTGCATTAAAACTATATTCAATGTTTGGTAGTACGTATATATGTAAAAGTACATTTTCTGCTTTGAAGAAATGCTACATGTGTGCAAAAGTTAGTAGAGGATAAACCCTTGTCTCAAATATCCCGTTGATTTTTTATTTTATATTAAATTTTAATACGGCCTTCAGCGTCTAAAAAGTTGGGACACACTGAACTGCGTTATTAATGTAGTGATTTTATAGTAAGAACTTAGACGATAGTATGTGTGTTTCACTTAATCAACGTGTAAGAAACATAAAAGTAGATATACATACCTTGATCCCATTATAGCTACCAAACTGCCTGATTTAACAGCGCCGGTAACTAAAAAAAACAATATTAATTATCTTATAAACAGAAGTTTATATCCCAACCTCCGTTAATTATCTGTTTGTGGTGCATCTGCCCATTTTTTGTTGTCGAAGAGTATACTGAAAGATTTTCCCAAACTAAAGTCACTCCCTCTTCAATGGGTGACCATCGGGAGTAGGTGCGTTGTCTTTTCTTCGCCAAACTAGCTGAAGCAAATATATCCAACTCATTCTAAAAATAAAACGTGGTCTTACTTACACCTCTAAATTAATTATACCTTGCAATTGCGTCGAGGACTAAACTCGAAATTAAATAAAATTATGATGTTATCGATTCAAAAGTAATGCGAAGGTGTCTTTGACGTATGACAAGTACCATCCAATCATGGCGTTAAATTTATTATAGTCAGGAAAATCATTGTAACAATTCATCCGTAAGAAAAATTTTCTAACGCACTTTGTAATCGCTTTTTTTATTAATTGACATTTGGTTATAGCTTTCAATGATTCGGAGAAAGAGTACTACACACAATTTCTTTGAATATACTGATATATTAGAATAATCGTCTTACTTTATCGAATTTTTTAAATGCAATTCATATTAAAAAATATAAACTACCAAAAAGAAGATTATATATATGGAAAGTACCTGAAGATAATCAAAACTACATAATAAAAAACCAGATTGATTATATATTAATTCACAAGGATGATAGAAATGGAATCAAGACAGTTAAAAGTCGATGTCCAGGACGGACATCGGCTCCGTCCACATACCTGTTATCGGTAAAATCTCAATTAAACTGAAGAAAATTAAACGCTGAGAGAAGATAAAACCTGGCCTTGAAAAACTTAAAGATTTAGCAGTACAGGCAGAGATTTGCACTTTTCGCGTATTAAAGTTAAATATTTAAAATAATGTTTTTCCATAAGATCACGATTTTCAAGAGCATCGGCATCATCAGTGGCTTATTCTATGTTATGTAATATTTTTATTAGTCCTAATTTATTGTTTTTATTCTAATTTATTGTCTTTATTCTAATTTACTGTTTTTATTCTAATTTATTAAAACTCACGATAATTTATCAAAAGTCTTTATTTTATACTAATTTATTTTACACTTAATAATTACAAATAATTCATTTTCGTTCGAACAATTTTAAACCGATATCGAGAGCTTCTTGTTGACTAACTCCTCAATGAGAATCTTCCGTTATTTATACGAAACCAGTTGGTGAACAGAATTTTGTAGAAAATACGATGCCGTTCTCGACGTAGACACAGCGGCAACGGGTCTCAAAACTGGTATGTTCTTCATCGGCTCGTCCCCAGAAAATTCGATTGTTGTTTGTTTAGCGAAGGGGACCCAAATGATGTCAGGTAGATTTTTGACCTAGAAATTACGAGAATCAATACAAAAGAATTAGTCATAAAATATTTACAGTTCTATACGCCATAACATTTAAAATCGTAACAGTTATCTTGTATATCATTATACCGTTCAAAATGTATAATTATTGATTCTTCTCCTAATTGTAATTCTGCTATAGTTAATTGAGAATCTAAAAATTGATCACACCAATTATATGCTCGAGTTAAAGCCGACTTTGCCTTTGCTCGGTGTTTCTTCAGTGCCTCCATTATTAAATATAGGTTTTAAATCTAAACAAGTATGATAGGCAATCACTAAAAACACCTTAAATTCACTTGCGAAAGCACTACCGCGTTAGATAAAGCACAAATTTTATAAGCACCCTGAAAGAAAAGCAATACAATACAAACAAATCAATAGAAATATCAATAGGAATATAAATAAATGAATATTTAAATGTACTGTAGAATATGTATAGTAATATATATATATATATATATATATATATATATATATATATATATATATATATATATATATATATATATATATATATCGGAAAAAGGAGTACGACCGTCAATCCAATATATATAGAAGGATCACTCAGACGAGTGGTGGGTTCTTATATCGGTCTCTAGGTGGAGAAATAAAATAAAAGACAATTGTGTGGTTCTCATATTGTAAAATTTTTTAGATGAACTGATGATGCTTTCAAAACTCGAAAGCGAAACGTCTTCAAAATAGATAAAGTAGCCTATCAACTTTGTCTTTTATTTCTCCACCTAGAGACCGATATAAGAACCCACCACTCGTCTGAGTGATCCTTCTATATATATATACATATATATATATATATATATATATATATATATATATATATATATATATATATATATATATATATATATATATATATATATATATATAAAATGGTGAAATATATGGAGGCACTGTGTAAGTATAATATTTAAGATATGTAAAATAATAAAAATATTTATTTTTAGTGAAATTTCAAAAGATAAATAATAATAAATTTTTCGCTTGAGCAAATAAATGTTTTTAATTCTTAAAACTAATTATTACAAAGAATTTCTTAAAAGAATTATTCTTCAAATTTTTATTTTATGCGAAACAATAGTGTCTTTCTTAGTATCGAAAATATTCTGTGAGCACGAAAGGACTATTTGTACCTGCAGAGGGTCGCCGTGAATTCTGGCAGCGAATGACGTAGCAATTTGTAGAAATATATATTTTAAATATATTTATTTGTGTTATATATAATAGTTATATATAAATCCTAGTTTATAACATCCTGCTCGAAGGACCATGGAAACGGGCAGGATTCCTCTGTCACCGTCCAAGTGGAGCCGGATAAATATATCGGCCGGGTACAAGTAATTAGGTTAAATTACTTCGGATAATCCTTCGACTTTGGTGTATTTCCATTAAGCGGTGGTTCTTTTTGTTGTTTGTATTTTAAATAAGTACTTCTTATTCAATTGAAAAGTAATTAAAAAACTTTGATTCATCCTTTCTCAAATCGCCCATGAGATCACGAAAAATACCCAATGTCGGTCGTTGTTTCAGAATCGGGTGGACCCAAAATCTTCTTTTTTTACACTGCCGCGGCGATAATAATACAATATCGCAAGCGTGTTCACGTCCATTACCTCTGAATTTTGGTTTTAATCTGGCAAATATAATATACCGCCCATTGCTCTACCGCAAAAAAACGGGATACAAACTACTGTGTGTGAACACACCAGTGGTTTTTACGGGATTCAGTAAAAAACCACTCCTGTAGAACTGGACGTCCGTGTGAATGGCCCCTAAGGTTTTATTACGCAATTTGCAATTTGTTTAAATTACGCAATGGATTTATTTTATTATCTTTTATTTTCTGGTATTGATGATTTATGCAATTTCAGTAAATTTGAATTGTTATTGATACTTTCTGACTTTTTGTAAGCTTTGTCCATAAAATTGTACAATTTTCAATGACAATAAAGCATATTTCTATTATATTCTATTCTAGCCATTATAGTACATCACTTTTTCTCATCGAATATGTTATATAAAAAAGAAAAACAAATAATTATTTGATTAAACAATTCAAATCTTTTATTGACATAAAAAACTACAAAATTGGAATTAACCTTTTAAAATATTAAAATTATCGAACCGCTATAGAAGAAAAAATGTGTATTGAACATGTGTATAACATATATGTTACACAAAAATTAATTACCTATTGCCAACATGGAATAAAAAAAAAGAACCGCAGGATACCGTATCATTTTACAATATCATTTCATTAGTGTATTTGTGAGAGTATGTGTGTGTACATGTAATATTTTATTCTGTTAGCAATGGCATGTTTGATAAAATACATATTTATACAATAACAGTATAAGAGTATAAAGATACCTCTCTTTCTGATTCACTGATTCAAAACTGGTCTTATAGATATTTAAAACAGAAAGAAAAAATTTAAAATAAATAAATAAGTTAGAATGCTTTAGAAATCAGTTCTCAGAACGAATTATTTTATCTCAATTCAAAAGCTAAGCTAATGTTTATATCGTCGCCGAAGAACCAAAACCGCCTAAGTGACATTTTCCCCCAAATGTACTTTATGGTTCCTTTACATAGAGACATCTCTTCTACGTCATTTGGCCTGAAAACTGTCTAATTTCGACAAACGACACGCCCTCCAGTGACATTATTGTAATACTGCCTATGTACATTCGTTAACGTTCTTCTTCTTCTTGTTCTTTTTTTGGGCTATGTCCTAGACAATTTACCCATGTTTACTTTAATCTACCTTTAATCTACCCTTTAAATGTTTTTCAAAACATTTAAAGGGTTTTGACCCACATATTTTGGTGGCTACTAGCATGTACAACCGTTTGCACTGATGATGGATTGATTAATCCGAAAACGTTTTGCAATGTGTTTGTGATAGCCCGTTTGGGGCATTTTTATATACCTTTTATAAAGGATTTTAAACATTTTTTTATTAGAGCTTTTATTTCTTTTTGTCGTTGGAATTCTTTACATTTTTTATCTTTAGAGATATGATCATTATTTTTGCAATGTATGCAATACGTTTTACAATTCGAGGCCTCTTCGTGTTGGTTTTTCCCACAGTTCTGATACATTGGGTTCCCTCTGCATTGATTATTACTGTGACCATATAACAGGCAATTACTACACATTAGGACTGAGCTGACATATGGTATAACCCTCATGGGCAATCCATACACAAGCACCTCCCTAGGTAGTGTTTTTCCTGTAGTGTTCCGGTAGTGTTGGTACATAGTTTTGTTCTATCTTTGTTTAATCTTTTTATGTCAACTACTTTACAGGAGACCAATTTTGTTTCAATTACATTTTTAGTTTCCCCTTCAGGTATTTCTTTACATATGTTTCTAATTATGCCCTTACAGGTGACATTATGATTTGGGATAAAGACATCATATTGTAAACTTTTCCATCTCTTATCGTTCACAAATAAATTTGCCGATTTAAAATCTTTAAATACAACACCTAACCGATTTTTTCCTTTACGATTGAATTCAATAACTTGCTGTAGGTTAAGGATAAATATTGTTTTAGCAATACTTAAGATATGAAGATTGCCTATGTTTTTGTCCTTTCCCTGTACGTATACTTCGAACGGGCCGGAATCGTATATATTATATTGGTTATTTTTTTTTTCTTTTTCACTTAAATCTGGCGGGGGGTCAGGAGGTTTGTCTGGATCGAGGTTAATGGGCTCCATTTTCGGCTGGAGGAACCGGTATCGTGTATTTTATTACTATTAGGTATGTATGTGATGGGATCGGGTTACGAACAA